GACCAATTAATACTTAATAATTGAAACCGAAATTAATTTGCAATCCGAAACCGTTGTAGTTTCTGAGGATGTGTACTAGTTTTACTGACTGCGCTTTCACTAACGGATTGAGAAATTTATTTTCAAAAACCAGCAAAAGGCCAAACACCACAAAAAGTATACTTATCTAAAAGCTTGGAAATAGTATTACCAAAGTGTAAACAGCATATCCCTTTTTTAGATTCTTTCACTGGGTCTGACACGAAGTCCCCTTTTTCGCAACGGGGAAAAATATCTTTGCAAAAAATTTAGAGCAACGACTGGACTTAACAAAATGCTGCAGCAGTTTTTGAAAATGAATGCAAAGACGCCAATAACATTTTTAAAGCTCATGTTACATGCGCCCTTGCCTTATACGCTGTCCCTCAAAAATAAAAGATCTAAATATCTTAAGCTACAACTTTTTACTTCCCGAGCGTAAGCAAAGGAAGTATTGTAATCGAGTCCTTCGGCCGACTCTCTACTTTTACGTTTTCTCGATCTTTCATGCGATCTTTCATGACCCCTAGAAGACCAAGAAATAGGTCTCCCATTTCCGTCTGTCTGTCCGTCTGTCCGTCTGTCCGTCTGTCCGTCTGTCCGTCTGTCCGTCCGTCTGTCCGTCCGTCTGTCCGTCTGCCGTCCCGGATTTTTATTAGACAGATAATCTCCGAAAGTACTCGACCGATTGTTGTGAAATTTTGTACTTATATTAAGAATATCATGTAGATGGTAAAACGCTAACCAAAATTTGTCTAATCATCCCCACCACAAATGCGATGACGTCACTTCAAAATTGTACATAGTAAATGGGTTTTCAATTGTATAAAATAACATAGTCCTACACATGTAGTTTACAACTCCGAATCGACTTTTCACCCGAAACGTCCAGATTTTTGGAAAAAAAATCAAAATTATAAAACAATATTTTGAAATTTAATTTTTAATCTGCTAACCAGAATGCTTTGAATGTTGCAGATGTTTTAAGGCTATAAAGAGCATCATAAATCTTTAGTCAAAAAATATTTGCTTATCCCCTCCAAAAACTTGATGACGTCAGCTCAAAAGTTTGTGGAATAAATCATATCTAAAATGTACAAAATATGATGAGTCTGTACTTGTGATCTATCACTCCATTCATATTTTTTGGATTTGCATATACAGGGTGACTCAAAAAAATTAATGAATGCGTAAATATATTTTATTGATTTAATCAGGAACTACAAAACCGAATGCTCTGAAATCTTGCAGATGTTTTAAGGTCATAAAGAGCATAATAAATGTTTAGTCAAAATATATTTGCTTTTCCCCTCCAAAAACTTGATGACGTCAGCTCGAAAGTTTGCCGAATAAATCATATCTAAAATGTACAAAATATGATGAGCCTGTACTTGTCATTTATCACTCCATTCATATTTTTTGGATTTGCATATACAGAGTGACTCAAAAAAATTAATGAATGCGTAAATATATTTTATTGATTTAATCAGGAACTACAAAACGGAATGCTCTGACATCTTGCAGATGCTTTAAGGTTATAAAGAGCATAATACATGTTTAGTCAAAATATATTTGCTTATCCCCTCCAAAAACTTGATGACGTCAGCTCGAAAATTTGCCGAATAAATCATATCTAAAATGTACAAAATATGATCAGTCTGTACTTGTGATCTATCACTCCATTCATATTTTCTGGATTTGCATATACAGGGTGATTCAAGAAAATAAATGAAAGCGTAAATTTATTTTACTGATTTACTCAGGAACTACAAAACCGAATGCTTCGAAATCTTGAAGATATTTTAAAATTATCATAAGCATGGTAAATTTTTGATCAAAACGTATTTGGTCGTCCCCCCTAAAAAATTTATGATGTCACCACAAAATTTTGCTGAATAAATCCTATCTAAAATGTACAAAATATGGTGAGTCTCTTCTTGTGATTTATCATTCCATTCAAATTTTTTCGATTTGCATATACAGGGTGACTCAAAAAATTAATGAATGCGTAAATTTATTTTATTGATTTAATCAGGAACTACAAAACCGAATGCTTTGAAATCTTGCACATGTTTTAAGGTTATAAAGAGCATAATAAATTTTTAGTCAAAATATATTTGGTTATCTTCTACAAAAAACTGATGACGTCAGCTCAAAAGTTTGCCGAATAAATCGTATCTAAAATGTACAAAATATGATGAGTCTGTACTTGTGATTTATCATTCCATTCATATTTTTGGATTTGCATATGCAGGGTGACTTAAAAAAATTAATGAAGGCGTGAATTTATTTTATCGATTTAATCAGGAATTACAAAACCGAATGCTTTGAAATCTTGGGAATATTTTAAAGTTATTATAAGCATGGTAAACTTTTGTTCAAAATGTATTTGTTCATCCCTCCTAAAAAAATTGATGACGTCACCCTTAAATTTTGCTGAATAAATCCTATCTAAAATGCAAAAAATATGATGAGTTTGTACTTGTGATTTATCATTCCATTCATATTTTTTAGATTTTCTTAAGAGGTGGTTCAAAAAAATTAATGAAGTCAATTTATTTTATTGATTAAATTAAAGGCAACACTTATTATTAGTATTACACCCCAACCAACCCAATTTGGTAGACACAAAATTTGTTAAAGGAAAAACTCGGTTGAAACATAAGGGTAGCACGCTTATTTACATCGACTTTAACATTACAGACCTGCATTTGTTTTATGCGCTCACTTGGTTCCGCGAATGTGAAATAGACATGTTTATAATCAACCAATTGTGAATTTCACCGTCAAGAATTAAAATAAAACCCAATGTTTTATATAATGAGCGGAAGTCGAAGCAATAAAACCGATGGTCGTTTTGTTTACAGTTTCTCTGTTTGACTCTCACGTATGCTGTTACGCTTGTCATCTTAAATTAAGAATGTTTATACATAAACGATTTTCAGTTGCCTTTCATATTACTAGACAGCGGATTTTTGTCGGGCTACGTCACGATTATAGGTGGGGACGCGCTGGATCGCCGGGACTCAGTAGCGGGTGATAGATAATCACTGAATTTAATCAGTACTAATTCCTTAAATATAATTAACGATTTATTAACCAAACGGCTAAGTAAATGAGAACGGGAATTAACAGCAGAGTGCAACGAAACAGCGTTATTCTAATCTCAAATAAACGAAGTGCAGTCCGCAACCGCAATGAATTCGCATCCCGTACGAGCCGTACCGAGTTTGGCCTTGCCTAGCCCGACAGAAATCCGCTCTCTAGATATTACACACCGGCGCCGTATACGTGAGTAAATTGTTTCGTTATTTTATTGATTATAAGAAATCAATATTCAAAACGACCCAATTCATTTTCCCGAAAATTTGGGAACACAATAATTTTATTCTTAGTATTACACTACATCTATCCCAACTGATATACGTGTCCTTGCAAAAATGTTGATGACGTCATCACAATTTTTTTTTAAATTCCCACTACAAAAATGTAATGAGAAAAAAAAACATAATAGGCATGCAGTCGTCAAGTTTCCGACAGCGAGGGAAGTACTGTCTAAACTCTTTAGACCAATTTTTTGTAAAAGCAACAGCTAAAAATAGCTGCGTTAAATTACCGTCTTTGGCACCTACTGCAGATGCCGCTTTTAGGCACTTTAAAAAGAGTATACCTGCATGGCTCGGAAGAGAAATATTACCAGAAGAATGGGGTTGGAAATATGAAAGCGAAATACTGATACCAGAAATAATGACGTAACTATATCAGCTCCACAGACCTTACTGAAAATGATTTTTTACGAACACAAAACAGAATGTGTATCATCTTGTGGGTGCAGGAAGAGTGGGTTGAAATGCACTGTAGCTTGCTTAAAATGCAATGGCAATAGTTGTCCTAATCCATCACTTATCATCAAAGTGAATGAGATTGACAATGATAATGTAGATAATTGACTCAAAATTTTTCAGTTTTTATAAAATAAAATAATAAATATTTATTTTTTTATTCATGCAGTATATTTTACCTATTTTTTGTATCTTTGGTCCGATATGTATACGATTTTGGGCAACTTGCCTTATTATCAATTTTTTTTTGTAAATTTGTTATTTTTAGCTAAAAAATTATAAATTGATGTTAAAGTTATTGTACAAATATCATTTATTGTATATAAAATTGAAATCTATACTACAATTTTTTTTTCATTCATATTTTTCTCATTCTTCAATTAATTGTTGTTATAAATTGTTGTAATAGAGATCGGCAAATTTTGATTGGTAAACTTTTTCATTTAAGCTTTTAACAATGTAATCGAAAAGGCTTCACGAAAATCCATTCAGTGGAACCGGGTTCCGAGGTTTTTACACTTTTATGTCTTACGGCACTCCACTATACCTAATTTGGTCAATAAAAAATTATAAAGTGATCCATTTTATAAAATTTATTGTATCTCATCAAAGAAAAAAGATATGTCGTCCTCTAGTTTCAATCCGTCGACCCTGGATATGTAAACAAAATCAAGGTAGATCCGCAAACCACAAATTCAAGAGTACATATATTATTTCATACAATTTCGGTAATGTTTATTATAACATATAATAAGTAGACGTGATCAAATTATTGGTGGGGATAATTGTCCAAATTTTGGTTAGCGTTTTACCATCTACACGGTATTCTTAATACACATACATTTGACAACAATCGGTCCAGTAGTTTAGGAGATTATCTGTGTAAAAAAACCCGGACAGGCGGCAGACAGACAGTCGGACAGACGGAGACGGGGATCCTGTTTCTTCGTTCTCTAGGGGTTATGGAGGGGTCGAGAAAACGTAAACGTAGATAGTCGGCCGATGGACTCGATTACAATACTTCCTTGGCTTACGCTCGGAAGTAAAAATTTATAAATATGCCACATAATAATAATTAGACGTTACAGTTTCGAAAAACAAACCTATTTTGCTTTAATTTTAAATATATTTTTATTTTAGTAAGTGACTCCAATTGTACCCAACGGACGCTCACCAACTATACTGGAGTATTGCGCCAAGCTCGTCACACCAAGTGAAATATATTTATAAAATCAGTCTTGCCATTACCCGAAAAATTTCTTTTAGGTGTACTCTCCCACCACATCCAGACTTTGGTCGATGGACTATGTATGACGTACCCTCTCAAAAATCCCCTGGGGAAGTGGTACCCTCACGGACAGTTTTAGAAGTGAGTTGCAACAAAAATCATAAACTCGATACCTACGAAATTGTTACCTGCGTTCGCGGAGAGTGGCGACCCGAAATTGGGAAATGTTTACGTAAGAATTTGGTAATTAATAATAATACCTTTTAGTGAAACGAAGTCTTTAGGGACGTGTCCTGCGATCGACAGTACTTCGATTATGACGGTGACTTGCACCCTCAACGAGCAAACGTTGAAATCTTGTGCTGACGCTTTTGACGGGACGGTCGCAAGGTTTCATTGTGCTCGCTTTTTCGAAAATCAGGGCCAGGAAAAGGATCCTTTTCGCTTGTGCTCTAACGGAAAATGGATTGGAAGTTTACCGACCTGTGTCCCACGTAAGTTTGTAAAACATCCTGCCGAATCACCACCCATGCACTAATTTCCGGTCTTTCTGCCTTCCCGAAAGCAAGCAAAAAGGAGGACCGTATCGCTTGTAATTTTCGGTGTATAATCTTTTTCTACTTTTTTTTAAATGAAGTGTGTAATTTATTCATTTATTATTTTCTACAAGTACTTACTACTTAAAATTAATGTATAGAAGTCGCCACTGGTCTTATACACAAAACACCCCTATAACTACCGTAACAGGATATAGGTACTTGATAGATCACTAATTTCATTTGTCACACGTAATGGCTGCTGGCATATAAGGTCTCTCGTTTCTGTATATCTCTTGTCAGTTTCGTCTGTTGGCCATTGTATTAAAAAAAATTGGTCCAAGGTTACTTCGACAGAATTTCCCTCACACTTGAAGTACAATCCAGCAAATCCCACTTCTTTGAAAAATTATTAAAAAAATAGTTTTTGATAACCTTTATATAATAAAAACCAGTGGTGTAAATGACATCTTGAACCCCTGCGCTGCGGAGGCGCAAATTCCAAGGGGGGCCGTCCGCAGAATAAAATATATTCAAAGCAAATAACCAACGGAAAAGAGTGTATTATTATCAGGATACATGCTTAAGTTCGATTGTTTATGTTTACACATCGGAAGAATGTCATGCAGAAACATTGTAGAAATTTGTTTGATTTGAATGAGTTGTTTCCTTAAAAGAGAGGACTAAAATTATTAATTAAGCCACAATGGAATAAAATGTTGTCAATACGATTATTATTATTCTTATTTGATCATATTAACATAAAGATGTGGATATCCTCACATTTTCTAGAAAATCAGATTCTTAATTTGATAAATAAAAAATGGGTCGAAGGCTGTAAGTGTAATGCGACAAATGAGAACCTCTGTAAAGTAAATACAAGCGGCATAAATACCACCTCCGCAACCCCTACGCCGTACGGACAATGTAAAATATATTCAAGCATCACATAACTAACGGGATAAAATGTTCTTCAGGACTAGGTAATAGGAATCTGAAGCTGATGTTTATTTATGTTTATACAGCGAAAGAATGTCACGTAGAAATTAGTGAGATTTGAATGAGTTTGTCTTCTCTAAACACAGGACTAAAATGATTAATTAAACCATAATCCAACAAAATGTTCTGAATACTTACTATAATTCTTATTTTAACATTATTATACAAATAAAGCCGTGCGTATTCTCAGATTTTCAAGAAAATGGGGTGACTAGTTCTTAATTTGACCAATAAAAAATTTGTGAGGATGTCATCAACATGGATAATATTAGTTACAGCACAAAAGAAAAGTAATCACAGCGTATTACCAATGCAAGTATAAAAAATTCGTCGAAACTTGTTTCAACAGAACTTCCCTCGCTCCTGAAGTACGATGAAACATATCCAGCATTTTCGAAAATTATAAAATTAGATTTTGCGTATTTGATGTTTTTTATGAGAACCCCTATAATTTTTTACTTCACAAAATCATCACTTTTGCAGGAACACTTATTTCACCTTAGATTTGTTCAGTAATACTAATAATAATGTATTATATCCCACTCCCACAATTTTCGGAAAAATGGAGTGAGCTATTCTTGATTTAATCAATAAAGTAAATTAATCTGTTTATGTAAATTTAAAAAATTGGTCCAAAGAGTTTAGACAGTACTTCCCTCGCTGTCGGAAACTTGACGACTGCATGCCTATTGTGTTTTTTTTTCTCATTACATTTTTGTAGTGGGAATTTAAAAAAAATTGCGATGACGTCATCAACATTTTTGCAAGGACACGTATATCAGTTGGGATAGATGTAGTGTAATACTAAGAATAAAATTATTATATTCTCAAATTTTCGGGAAAATGAATTGGGCGTTTTGAATATTGATTTGTAATAATCAATAAAATAACGAAACAATTTACTCACGTATACGTATCAGAGGCAACTGAAAATCGTGTATGTATAAACATTCTTAATTTAAGATGGCAGGCGTAACAGCATACGTGAGAGTCAAACAGAGAAACTGTAAACAAAACGACCATCGGTTTTATTGCTTCGACTTCCGCTTATTATATAAAACATTGGGTTTTATTTTAATTCTTGACGGTGAAATTCACAATTGGTTGATTATAAACATGTCTATTTCAAATTCGCGGAACCAAGTGAGCGCATAAAACAAATGCAGGTCTGTAATGTTAAAGTCGATGTAAATAAGCGTGCTACCCTTATGTTTCAACCGAGTTTTTCCTTTAACAAATTTTGTGTCTACCAAATTGGGTTGGTTGGGGTGTAATACTAATAATAAGTGTTGCCTTTAATTTAATCAATAAAATAAATTGACTTCATTAATTTTTTTGAACCACCTATTAAGAAAATCTAAAAAATATGAGTGGAATGATAAATCACAAGTACAAACTCATCATATTTTTTGCATTTTAGATAGGATTTATTCAGCAAAATTTAAGGGTGACGTCATCAATTTTTTTAGGAGGGATCAACAAATACATTTTCAACAAAAGTTTACCATGCTTATAATAACTTTAAAATATTCCCAAGATTTCAAAGCATTCGGTTTTGTAATTCCTGATTAAATCGATAAAATAAATTCACGCCTTCATTAATTTTTTTGAGTCACTCTGCATATGCAAATCCAAAAATATGAATGGAATGATAAATCACAAGTATAGACTCATCATATTTTGTACATTTTAGATACGATTTATTCGGCAAACTTTTGAGCTGACGTCATCAGTTTTTTGTAGAAGATAACCAAATATATTTTGACTAAAAATTTATTATGCTCTTTATAACCTTAAAACATCTGCAAGATTTCAAAGCATTCAGTTTTTTAGTTCCTGATTAAATCAATAAAATAAACTTACGCATTCATTAATTTTTTTGAGTCATCCTGTATATGCAAATCGAAAAAATTTGAATGGAATGATAAATCACAAGAAGAGACTCACCATATTTTGTACATTTTAGATAGGATTTATTCAGCAAAATTTTGTGGTGACGTCATAAATTTTTTAGGGGGGACGACCAAATACGTTTTGATCAAAAATTTACCATGCTTATGATAATTTTAAAATATCTTCAAGATTTCGAAGCATTCGGTTTTGTAGTTCCTGAGTAAATCAGTAAAATAAATTTACGCTTTCATTTATTTTCTTGAATCACCCTGTATATGCAAATCCAAAAAATATGAATGGAGTGATAGATCACAAGTACAGACTGATCATATTTTGTACATTTTAGATATGATTTATTCGGCAAATTTTCGAGCTGACGTCATCAAGTTTTTGGAGGGGATAAGCAAATATATTTTGACTAAACATTTATTATGCTCTTTATAACCTTAAAACATCTGCAAGATGTCAGAGCATTCCGTTTTGTAGTTCCTGATTAAATCAATAAAATATATTTACGCATTCATTAATTTTTTTGAGTCACTCTGTATATGCAAATCCAAAAAATATGAATGGAGTGATAAATGACAAGTACAGACTCATCATATTTTTTACATTTTAGATATGATTTATTCGTCAAACTTTCGAGCTGACGTCATCAAGTTTTTGGAGGGGATAAGCAAATATATTTTGACTAAACATTTATTATGCTCTTTATGACCTTAAAACATCTGCAAGATTTCAGAGCATTCGGTTTTGTAGTTCCTGATTAAATCAATAAAATATATTTACGCATTCATTAATTTTTTTGAGTCACTCTGTATATGCAAATCCAAAAAATATGAATGGAGTGATAAATGACAAGTACAGACTCATCATATTTTTTACATTTTAGATATGATTTATTCGTCAAACTTTCGAGCTGACGTCATCAAGTTTTTGGAGGGGATAAGCAAATATATTTTGACTAAACATTTATTATGCTCTTTATGACCTTAAAACATCTGCAAGATTTCAGAGCATTCGGTTTTGTAGTTCCTGATTAAATCAATAAAATATATTTACGCATTCATTAATTTTTTTGAGTCACCCTGTATATGCAAATCCAAAAAATATGAATGGAGTGATAGATCACAAGTACAGACTCATCATATTTTGTACATTTTAGATATGATTTATTCCACAAACTTTTGAGCTGACGTCATCAAGTTTTTGGAGGGGATAAGCAAATATTTTTTGACTAAAGATTTATGATGCTCTTTATAGCCTTAAAACATCTGCAACATTTCAAAGCATTCTGGTTAGCAGATTAAAAATTAAATTTCAAAATGTTGTTTTATAATTTTGATTTTTTTTCCAAAAATCTGGACGTTTAGGGTGAAAAGTCGATTCAGAGTTGTAAACTACATGTGTAGGACTATGTTATTTTATACAATTGAAAACCCATTTACTATGTACAATTTTGAAGTGACGTCATCGCATTAGTGGTGGGGATGATTAGATAAATTTTGGTTAGCGTTTTACCATCTACATGATATTCTTAATATAAGTACAAAATTTCACAACAATCGGTCGAGTACTTTCGGAGATTATCTGTCTAATAAAAATCCGGGACGGCAGACGGACAGACGGACGGACAGACGGACGGACAGACGGACGGACAGACGGACGGACAGACGGACGGACAGACGGACGGACAGACGGACAGACGGACAGACAGACGGAAATGGGAGACCTATTTCTTCGTCTTCTAGGGGTCATGAAAGATCAAGAAAACGTAAAAGTAGAGAGTCGGCCGACGGACTCGATTACAATACTTCCTTTGCTTACGCTCGGGAAGTAAAAATACTAACGCAATGGTAAATCACAAGTAAAGACTTATCATATTTTGCACATTTTAGATAGTATTTATTTGGCAAAATTTTGACATGACGTCATCAATTTGGGGGGGGGAAGAGTATTTTAATTAAAAATTTACCATGCGTGCAATAACTTCAAAACGTCTGCAAGATTTCAAGGCATTCGGTTTTGCAGTTCTTGGTTGAGGCCAATTTTGCATTATGCACAATCTCGAGGTCATATGTGTCAACAAACGGTCAGTCGAAGACGAAATCGTATAAAACAAATCAATTTTATTTTCTGTTACATTTAGGCCAGAAGGGGGCCTGATCGTCCAGGATCACAAACATATCCGTATAAACCGTCTCTGAACAAGTACAGACATTGTAAAATATATTTTTGCGCTCGTGGGAGTAAAAGTCGGTTTCTATGACCGCAAAATCGGCAGAGAAATAAAATATTTGCTCTCTAGGGAGAGAAATACATAAACAAATTTAATTTAGGAGTCAACAAATTCAGTGCAGCAGCTTCAGCAGCATCCATGCATTTCCTACGGATCTTCGTTTTGCATTTTGATTGAAAAAAATCGGTGGTATCTCAACAATATGCGTAGTATTTAAAATGTTTACGTTTATACATCGGAAGAATGTTACGTAGACATTTGCTTGATTTGAATGAGTTTATCGCGTCAAAACAAATAACTAAAATTATTGAACAAAATATTCTGAATCTTATTACAATTTCAATTCATACCTTATCATTATTTTATTGTTTATTCGACAAAATTTTGATCTGACGTCATCAATTTTTTGGAGGGGATAAGTAAATATAGTTTGATTAAAAATTTATTATGCTTATCATAACTTTAAAAGCGTTTGGTTTTGCAGATTCAAAATTAAATTACAAAATGTTGTTTTATAATTTTGACTTTTTTTTCAAAATTCTGTACGTTTCGAGTAAAAACTCAACGCGGAGTCATAAAGTACATGTAGAACTATGTTATTTTATACAATTTAAAACCAATTTTAGTAGGTACAACTTTGAAGTGACATCATCACAATATTGGTGGAGATGATTAGAAAAATTTTGGATAGCATTTTACCATCTACATGATATTCCTGTCATAAATACAAAATTTGACAACAATCAACCCAGTACTTTCGGAGATTACCTGTCTAATAAAAATCCGGGACGGCAGACAGACGGACAGACAGATAGCTAGACAGACAGACAGATAAATAGACAGACAGACAGGCGGAAACGGAAGACCTATTTCTTCGTATTCTACGAGTCATGAAAGGCCGAGAATACGTAAACGTAGAGAGTCGGCCGACGGACTCGATTACAATATTTCCTTCGCTTACGTTCGGGAAGTAAAAATTAAAACCAAGGAGGGAGCGTCCCTCATTTAATCAATGGTAAACAAACGCCGGCAAAAGAACTCCACACAAGAGCCATTTATGATACTTTTCGTACTACATCGCAAGCGGGAAGATGTCAACAGAAGATCTGCAGAAGAGGTGCACTTTGGTTACGAATGGGTTCACAGGTAGCAAATAGTAAAATAATTTGACCTTGACCCATTCATGGGTGCAAAGCTAAACATTCTAGACCGAGCGCAAATTAGAACCCGAGACGCGTAGCGTCGAAGGCTCTAAAACGCGAGGTCTAGAAGTGTCTTTACAATCGTGGTTAATATACTATTTTTTTCATTAGTAAAAACCGTAAGAGAATATTTTGAAAAAATAAACTTCAATTTTTTGACGCAATATGATTTTGTTGTGATTTCTAATCAAACTTAACCTAAATCTTCAATACAAAAAAAACCGTTTACACTTGTTGCATTAATCATTTTTTCTTTCACCGTCTACCAACTACCATGCGTATGCTCAAGTAATGTTAGTAGCACACATTTATTCATTCTTTAAGAAATAATCACATCAAGTATTTCATACATAACCTCAATCTTCTTTTTGAACCTTGGTCGCAAAAGTTGCACTTTGCTACCTCTAAACAAGTCGACATTTGCATGTTTCATGGCTGCTAGTGAAAAAAAAAATTAATAAACTCTGTATTCGGTAAAAAAAAAATAAAAACAATACAATTTGGAAAAATACTTTCAAGTTTTCTATCAGCGCACAAGTGGTAAAGAACTGATGATGATAAAGACAACATTTCCTAGGCCAAATAAATTTCACATTTTCCAAATTGTTTGGAAATTATACAGGATGTTTAAACAAATTTTTGAATTATTCAATAATATTTTTTGCTTCAATCAAAAAATGTCCAAGTATGCAACAGTCAGATTAAAATAATTATCAAGCAATTTTTAGGATGTGGACAAGTATTACGCAGAAAAGAACCCACGCTGATTGTTGGCGGACATGAAACACTAAGACGAGAGTACCCTTGGCAGGTCGCATTATATCGATCATCGGATAAAAACTTACTTTGTAGTGGAACTTTACTAAATCAGAGAGTTATTCTAACTGGTAATTTTCGATTGTAGTAAGAAGGGGAATTAGATAAACAATAAATTTTCAGCGGCGCACTGTATAACAGACGATAAAGGCAAACTTCAACCAAAGGAACAGTATGTGGTAGCCGTTGGTAAATATTTTCGGCAATATGACCACCCCGACGATGCTGCAGATGCACAGTTTTCTTCTGTATGTTTAGCCAAACTAACGTGGGAAAAATTATTACAGTTTACAATTTTTAGATTTTCAGGTGTACGACATGTATGTTCCTCGACAGTACAAGGCATATATTCAGCATTACTTTGGCGATGTTGGTATTATAATTACGACGAAAATTTTTAACATTTCTGCCAGTGTTCGACCTATATGTGTTATGTGGGAGTCAAAGCGCCATCAAGTACTGACAGACCCTAGTAGACAGAAATACGCTTACGTAAACTTTCAAGTTTACGTTAGTTGTTAGAATTCAAATCCTGATTTTTTCTAGGTCAGCGGTTGGGGTTACACTGTAGAGTACACAAATCTTTCTGATGTACTTAGATATTTAAAAGTTCCGCTTATCACCGACGAAGATTGCAATCAAAGATTACCCGAAGATGTCATCGAATACATGACTGACGATAAGTTGTGTGCAGGCTTTTTAAATTCTAGTAAACTTTGTCACTTATTTGGAAACATAATCGATGTTGAAATTTTAGGTACTTCTGTATGTAAAGGTGACAGCGGTGGAGGTCTCATTGCCAAATACAAGAAACGCTATTATATCATCGGAACTGTTAGTATTTCACCCCAAGCAGAATCGGCATATGGTGGCTGTAACAGTCAAACATACACTCTCTACACGAGGTTTTCGTATTATATTGAAAGCTTTATACTGGAAAAGGAAGCTCGATTTAGACCGTGAGTTTTAAATTTTTATTTAGAAATCTGGTGACAATGGCCGTATGTTTGTACCATCGCTGGACAAAAAAAACTGGGACACAATAGGTAACTAGATAATTTTGAAAATTCGAAATTTAAAACGTGTAAGTTGGGCTTTTCCTGTCAAAAATATTATTTATTAGGTTTGTGGAACATTTTCGCATATTTTATTTATTGTTTTCAAGAAATTAGTCGAAAAGATAAAGGCGTAAACGAGAGCGTAAAATTAGGAACGTAACTTTATTCAAGAGAAAATAAAAAACTGGAATTATAACTAGAAACATTATACTGAAGATGACAATTCAACTGATCAGTATTTTGTCATTGCACCATTTGCATCGATCACATTCTGTAGTCGACGAGGCATGGAAGCAATTAACTGCTTCATATATCCAGGTGTTACAGTTTCCCATGCCTCGACAATTTTTTCTTGTAATTCTAGTGGATTTCTAGGTCGAAAATCATTTTGATAAATATATTTTTGCATTTCTCCCCAAACATTTTCAATTACGTTTAAATCTGGGCTCCTAGAGGGCCAAGGCAAAACATTCACTCCCTGGGCTTCCAAATACCGACTTACCAGTCGGGCATTATGAACTGGACAGTTATCCTGCAATGGGTTTTATAATTATTAAAAAAAAAATGAAAAGAAGAATAGCACAAACTTGTTGAAATATAAAGTTTCGTTCTCCAAAAACTGGTATTACTGAGGGGAGCATAAGTTCCTCTAGAAGCCTTCTGTATACATTAGCGTTTAATCTTTCTTCTACTATTGCGCAAATTCCACGTCCTCTGCTGCTAACCCACCCCCAAACATTAACGGAAAAGCGACCGGATTGTTTATATTTATTGCAATAGCGTTCATCATATCTCGTTCCTGGGAGTCTATAGACACGACGACGGCCATTACTATATGATTTGAAAGTTTTTTCGTCGGAAAATATCACATTATTCCACATATCTGCAGGTTCATTGACAAATTCCTGAGCAAATAATACCCTATTTGCCTTGTTTTGCTCAGTTAAAAATATTTTATTGGCAGCAGCCCGATTTCTTAATTCAGTTTCGTGGACTCTCTTCCGGGCTGTTTTCAATGATGCAGGGAAATTCGTTTGCTGCCTTGCGTTAACCACTGTTTCAAAAGGATATTCTCGAACGAAATTTGCCAATTGAATGTTTTCGTCTGCAGTCGTTTTTCTTGGACGACCCGACCCCGCTCGTCTGATAATTCTACCATATTCATTAATTTTTTTTTTCGCCAGTAGGACAGTATTCTTGCTAATATGCAGCTCAGTTGCTATTGTTCTAATTGAGACCCCATCCCTTAAACGTTGGGCAATAGTTTGCTTTTGAACTTCATTCAAACTTGGCATTTTTGAATTGGCACTTGACATTAATCAAGGTGACATTTTTTAAATTTCATGTTGAATTACATTTTAAAGAGCTGTTTACAATGCAAAAATTTTCAGTGTCCCAGTTTTTTATTTCCACCGATGGTACGTAATACGCCAAAACCAAAGGTCTAACACTGAAGACTGATTACTGATTATCCACAAAAAGAAAGCTTATGCATCCCTATAACAAAAACTATTTCAAAATTTAATTCTCAATAGATATGGGTGTACTTGTTAAATAGTAAAGTGACTTTGATAAACGTTAGGAACTAAATTTGTAAAGACAATTCTGTATACTGAGTGCAGGTAGCTTACCTACACTTCTCTTGTTCGCTATCTCACATATCTTTTTGCACTCATGATCTTTTTTGATGATTTTCTGGCATTCAACATGGTGCGGGAAGTTGAACTTACCTTAAAATAATCGGGTAGTGTCAACATTGTGTCGTGTTTATGGCGCTGTCAACGCCGTTGTTTATAAATAACTCACAGATAATCTCTTCAGTTTAAAGATATATTCGTTGCAAAAAATATTGTACACAACACGTTCGTGAGCCTGCTTCCCGCACTCACGCAAATGCGGCACTGCCTTCGATCGTGCCACAAACAAGCGTTCACGCAGGAAGTAGGCTAGTTGTGTAAATCACTAATACCCCTTCAAGTTACCGTATCACTATAACTTTAAAATGGATCTGATACTTTCAAATTTAGGCGTCTGGATTGTCAAGATCCTCTTAATTGTGACGACGATAACCCTCCAATTACGTCATTCCCACCTACAGAGCCGACAACAGAAATTGTAACAGAATCGTCTGGGAGGTAAAGTAGCCCGAGGTAATCGAAACCCGTTTGTAATAAAAAAAATCTTCATACAAGTAGTCGCTGCATTTTACCAAATCACCCCGAATCTGGAAAGTGGAGTATCCTTGGAGCAACTACAGCACTGGAACCTGGAACACCAGTAACATCAGGAACCGTTTTAAAACTAGAATGTAACGAACGTTTTTTGATGGAGGGTCAAAATTTAATATACTGTGACAAAAACAACAAGTGGTCATCCGAACTTGGTCGATGCTTAAGTACGTCGTCAGCTGATCAACTTACACTTGTTGCTTTTATTTTATTTTTGCAGAAAGTTGTCCACCGAGAGTAAGTACTCCAACAATGCATGTTACATGCGTCTACAGGGAGAAAGAGATTGAAAACTGTACTGAACCAGTTGAAGGTACTATCGCTAAATTTCGGTGTGCTCCGTTTTATGAAGATTTACAGTTAAAAAAAAGGCCTGTTCATATCTGTAATGATGGTACTTGGGACCAACCACTTCCAGAGTGTGAACCGAGTAAGTGCGAATGTTGAACTTTATAGTCTGTTCGGAATAATATTAGGAGATCTATTGAACTATGTTTTTATGTAACGTAATTCAAAAAAACGGAAATGAACGAAAAGTGTTGTTTTCAAAATAGGTTACATGATGCCAAAATTTGAAACCACACGTAAAATAACCACATAATCCCTTTTGACATCTTAATGTGTTTGACACCTTGGGCTTGTATTCACTATAAAAATGGTTTTGATTGCAGTTTGTGGCCAAAAAACTGTAGAAGCTACTCAGTTAATTGTAGGTGGAAGTAATGTGACCAAAGGGGATTATCCCTGGAACGTAGCTTTGTACACCAAAAAAGACAAGTTGCTTATATGTGGTGGATCACTTATAAGTAGAAGAATCGTGGTTACAGGTAGGCAGTTGTTATTCATGCATTCTTGCTATATATTACATAATTCCAGCTGCCCACTGCATCGCGGATGAAAACGGAAACTTGCTTGATAAGGAAAACTACGTCATAGCTGTTGCAAAATACTATAGAAACTTTGAGGACCGTCGAGACCACAACGAAGCACAATTTTCAGAGGTACGTTACTGTTTCGAATTCGGAAAACGTTTCCTTCGTAATGATTTTTCTTAGTTGGAGGCCATGTTTGTCTCTGAAATTTATAGAGGCAATGTTCAGAATTTCATGGGTGATATTGCCGTATTAGTGTCTAAGAAAACTTTTACCCTTTCACGAAGAGTTCAGCCTGTGTGCTTAGACGTAAATCAAAATTCCAATATCGCTGCAGACGACATAGGTTACGTAAGTTGGATAATAATCTTTAATGCTAAAACTAGTTTATTCTTATTTTTTATTCAGGTAATTGGGTGGGGTTACACTGTTGAAAACGCGATCCCGTCAGAAGTTCTGAAAGAACTAAAAATTCCTTTGGTTTCTCACTTAAACTGCCAAAATAATTTACCAGAAGACTACGAAGTTTATGTCACTTTTGACAAAATTTGTGCCGGATACCTTGACAAGGGTAAGTTTAAGACGGTTGTGACTAAGTAACGGCACGCTGAAAGATTATTATTATTATTTCAGGATTGTCAATATGTAAAGGAGATGGTGGTGGAGGATTGGTATTTAAACATAATGGTAGATATTATCTTACTGCCGTCGCCAGTCTATCTCCCTCTTCACCTACTACGTTGGGGGGCTGTGACAGCCATAACTATGGTCTCTACACTAAAGTTTCGAATTATATGAATTTTTTTATTTTGTCAAAATTAGCTGAATTTAAGGACTAAATCTTACATATTACTTTAATAGAGACTAAAACCTACTGTGCTAAAACTATCACTATTTATAAGCGTTAACAGGAAAAAATAAAATTCGCTGTACCAAATTGATATACAATTTATCTAAGAAACGGAAACTGGGTTTGGTTCCGGAGTAAAGAAGCTTTTTGTAAACAATTTTCGACCAACAATGTTTAGAATGTGGCCAACCATTTTACGCAAAAAAGAACCCACACTAATTGTTAGTGAAAATTATATAGAACGTCCGATAACGAATTGTGGCGAATTATACCTTATGATGATGGAACTTTAGCTACTCTAACTAGACATTTTTAATAGCAGTAAGAAGATAAATTAGGTAAACAAAAAACTTTCAACAACACAATGTATAACAATATAGTAAATGGCTTATTAGAGTTTTAATTATACAGGAGACAATGAACCTACAAACGTTAAAATGCAACCAGTAACACATTTTCAAAAGTAGCTTGAATCTTGGTTCTTAAATTTAATTAACAACACATGGTTAGTTCGTTTTAGAAATTTTGAGACAAAGGTCAATTTTTAAATTATGTATATGACATTAACAAATAATAAGTGTTAAACGAAACACGAAGTATGAACAAACCAATGAACGCCACTGGCGCTTTTACCCACCTGCAATTTGAAAGTGAACTTGACTGGTCCTATTTTTCTCTTCTTCATTGGTGACGTTGCCGATGACGACATGCTATTTATTCTCAGTTTGTGCGAGGTCTAGTAATTGTCAAAAATGACTGTAATTGTATTTATTGTTGATTACGTTTTGAATTTTTTAGGTGAGACGTTTCTCGTGAATAATCCTGTATAATTAAAACCTTTGTCGTACATACAATGCGTCTTTTCTAAAAGTGGCCATAAGGATTCCCATCTTAAATATATACCCCTTGTAACGAAGCGAATTTTCGCGGGCCGGAAACCGTGCCGCGTACCGCGAGAGCCGGGGGTAAATTGGCGACCGCCGCGCCGCCGCGGCGGAAGAGGATTCTTGCCTGAAACTCCAGAGAGTGCGGAAGTTTGTGGCTGCTGTTTTGCGATTTTGAGAAGTGAGAAGCCTGCAGTTGACCCTCCGACCCACCGTAAGTACTTTTTGGGTCTTCTGTCCGTGTTTGTACCGGTTTTGGAATCGCCGCCCCCGAGCGAGAAACCGTGTCACCGTCACCGCGTTTTTTTTGTCACCGTCGAAAGTCGACACCGTCGTGCACGCGTCGTTACCGTCACCGCGCTTCCCTCCCGGGTCGCCGTACCGTCTTCGCGCGATTTCCAGTTTCAAGGTCGCCGCCCCCAGAGCCAAGAGGAGCCCGGCCTGAAGGAAGTCGCCGCCCAGGAGGAACGACCGTGCCGGACTTTAATTCTTTTTTTTTGTTGTAAAACCGTTTGTTAGATATTTAAGTTATTTAGCCGTAAGATTTATTATTTTAGATCGTGTAGCTGGTGGCAGGGAATAAACCCTATTTTTGTTATAACACATCTCTTGCCGTTTTATTTTATTTATTCTCGGGTTTTCGCTGCGGCTCATCACCTGAATTCCGTGTCTCCGGCTTTAGAGCACCCCGGCGCTCCCTCCCCCGGAGAGGGAGCTGGCGCCCGAGCGACCGTCGCTCCTGACCGAAGGCGCCACCCCCGGCGGCGTGAAGGTAGCCGCATAAGCTTGGTCGACCAGACGTGTTTCTGATATCAGCGATACTAGTCGACCCAAAGCTTGGCACTCAAGTACGCCGCCACCCCCTACGTTATCGGCGAGATTCCGGACCGTCACCGGACCGTCCGTCCCGTCCCATCCGGAATTTCGTCGCACCCTTGTACTTATGTTTCAGTCAAGATTCAGTGTTGAAATTTTTACTGGATATAATTTGGGTCATTTTTGTCGGTTTTATTACTGGTTCTGCTTTAATTAAAGAATATTTATTACAAAAATTGTTGTCAGTAGTATTGTAGGCAGTTACATAAAACCGGAAAACCTAACGTTTCTAAAATTTAATTAGGTACTCGTCCTCTTACTGGTTCTTACTGTTCTAAATTCGTCAAAATGTCAAAATTAAAGAAAAAGTGGAAATGATCGTAACAACACAATTCCCAAATTTGCAAATCTTAATTACCTAACACGTCTGTCCAAATTTACATATAATACATACCATTCAAACACAATCACAATCGAGCATCAATCCCCAAACGTAAGCAAAATTCACATATTAGCAAATATCAGATATCATTGCGCTTGTCAGACATTGCAAACAACATGTGCAGAATCGCACATTCACAAAAAAGTCGCTAATCCCAATTACTTTCATTAAAATTTGTACCCAAACTAAAACAGTGGCAGGAGAAACCCAGACGGATAAATCTCAAGAAAAAACGGAACAAAGAACGCCGCCCTTATTAGTAACCGAGATGACATAGGCTAACGCAACGAAGAGATGACGACATGGGAACCGAATGATGCAAGCTGAAAAGTCCGAAAAATTTACGAGTTAACCTGACCCAAGTACGCGTCGGAGAAGAAATCCTATACTGGGCGAAACTAGACATTATAAAGTTGCAAACTACGGTATAAGGCGCATCTCCGGAGTATCGTATATTAGATCTTTATATTAGGAGTACAATCTAATGTCGCGGGAGAGGGAGACAATATAAATGGGCTAAAATCTCTGTAAAAGAGAAAGCACAGGAAGTAAAATTCATTCACGTCTCGAGGTGCCCCCGCTCGTGCTACTACTGTGATCTTGATCTACGATTTTTTCCCAATGCGAATCGCTGCTCGAATTTCTACTGAATTTTGAAGAAAGTTGAATTTAGAAAAATTTGCTGAAATCCGAAAGAAGGCTAGACTACAGATGTTCTCGTTTTCCAGCGGTACCCTTGGCCTTCTGTCAGCTTTTAGATCGCCGGAAAGAGTCTTCCGATAATTTATCGGTCAATTCAATGTTTCCTCTGTTTCCGGGTTCGGCCCTCAGAGTTCGAGATACGGATGTTTTATTTAGGTGGGTTTTGGGAGGTTTCCGAACCGGAACCATTTTAATCTGATCCCTTTGCAGTTAATAATTTTACTTTGGGTTTATTACTTTTCATTATATTCCCGTTCTTTAAATATTTTGCGGTAGTTTTAGGAAACCTCGTACTTCATGCAAATTGAATGCTTTCACCGCACTTTGTAGCGTTGATGGTACAAGTTTCTTATCTTTGAGTGTCATTGAAGATCTCTGGCTATTTAATTCTACTCTCATCTGACCACCTAGTTGTTTTATCAGTAAAAGATCTTGTTAATAGGAAAAGTGTATTTATTGACAACTCTCACAATTCGTCTTGTTATTCTATTCACTTATTTTTCCCCCCAGCCTGCTAACACAACATCCCCCCCTTTAAAGCTAGGTTACGTAGTCTTTCAAATAAGCAGGCCTCTTTGAATTCCTAGTTGACCGCCGCAGAGGAGGAACAGACCATGGACGTGACGACACAACATTATCAGATGAATTATGAATTCCTGTAGTGATATTGGTGCTGACTTCTCTAGAACTTTTATTCATTAATTTTGAATCAATGTTGACACTATTTTCAGAAGGCAGAGGCTGAGGCAATGTCGAAATGAGCGGAGGTGGTAAAATATAATAAGGAGCTGGAACTAAATGATATCGGTTGCGCCGATAGATTCCAAAATTAGTTTCCACCATGTATGACCGTGGTTCTCTTAAGACCTCTATTATTTTCCCATATATTCGTAAGTCAGTTACCCAAACACTGTCCCCTTGTTTCAGTTCTGATAAATTTCGGGCCCTATGTCTTCTATTAAACTGGTCAATACTTTTATCTTTAGCCTTATCCTCCCTTTTAAAAACAAGTTTAGCGTTAACAGCTTTATTTAATTGACTTGGCAAAATAGGCAAATGTGACCGTAGTTTCCTATTCATAAGAAGTTCGGAAGGACTATATCCGCACTCTAATGGTGTAGTACGATAAGCCAATAAAGCTAAATCTAAACCACCAGGATTTTTTTAAATAAGACTCTTGGCTATTTTTACAGCCGCTTCAATGCAACCATAAATTTTTAGACTGAGGAAAGTAAGGACTACTAGTAATGTGATGGAAATCATAATCATAAGCAAATTTTTTAAATTCACTTTGGAATTGTGGACCATTATCTGACCTTACAATTTCAGGAATGCCAAAGCGACTGAATAATGTCTTCAGTTTAGCAATAATGATGTATTCTGTCATTTTATTTAATTTGAATATTCCAAAGAATCTTGAGTAATAATCAGTCACTATTAAGTACCAACTATCAATTTTAAACAAATCTAGTGCAATTTTTTGCCACGGACGTTCGGGAAATGAATCCTTTAAGAAAGGTTCTTTAAGATTAATTTTATGTTCCATACATTGAGGGCAATTTCTAATTAAATTTTCAATCTGTGAAGAAAGACCTAACCACCACACAGACGTTTTCGCTCGTGCGCGACATTTAACAATCCCCTGATGTCCGCGATGTAAAAATTCTAAACACCTCAACTGCAAAGAACTAGGAATAATTATTCTATTATTTCGCAACAATATATCGTGGACAAAAGAAATTTCAAATCGATATTGGTAGTAAGGACGTATATTCTCCTCTAATTTAGTCTTAGCAGGCCACCCAGTTATAGAATAATCCTTTAACGTTTGACATATAGAGTCTTTGGCCTGTTCTTGTTTAATTTCCTCAATAAAGTATGATTTTACTTGAACAGATTGTACTATCAAATTAACATGTGCCTCCGTTTCATGAGCCAACTCGTCATCCTCTGGACTACGCGAATCTCCTGAAAAATTTCTTGATAACGCATCAGCTACTATTAGATTTTTTCCTGGTACATAATAAATTTCATAATCAAATCTCATTAATCTAATTCTGAAACGCTGTAAACGAGGTGTTAAATCATCTATGGGTTTTGTTTGTAAAACTTGAGTTAATGGTTTGTGATCCGTTTCAAAAGTTATTCGTATTCCGGTGATATATTCTCGAAATTTTTCTGCTGCCCAAGTTAATGCAAGTGCTTCGCGTTCAATCTGAGCATATCTTTTTTCAGTAGTTGAGAGTAATCTAGAAGCATAGGCAATAATTTCTTTTACTTCCTCTTGTCTTGTTAAAGCTCGTTTACTGTCGTCTGAACTAACTCGTTAAATTAGCCTTTACACGCACCCTGCCTGTAAAGCGTTACCGTGGCAGCTTTACAGGCACCGTGCCTGTAAAACGTTATCATGACAGCACCGGAATCAAACACACATTCGCTGCGTCGGCCTTTTTCTTAATCTCACTAATACTGTGTGCTAATACTAACGTTAAAATCACCTTCAAACTCTTCATCTTCATCGAATTCCACAATTAACAGAGCTCAGAAACAAAATTAAACTATTTAAATTATTAATCGAATTTACAAATTGACAGTCCCGTTATTTTCAAACAATTCAATTTTCCATAGTTACCGGAGCAAACTATGAAAAATAACTACAATTTCTACGACTGTAATTTCAAGTAAAATTTCTAGAGATGCCAAAGTTGTTCATTTTCAGGATTTTCAGCAAGAGGAAGTAAAACGTTGTACGCGGCTCGCTTGCAACTAGCCTTTACTGGGGCTCACCGGATTACAGAGCTCGCTCCTACGTCGCTCGCCCTGCAAACATTCCGGCTCGCCCGTAAAGGCTAATTTACTAAGCTTGCCACGTAAATAACTATTTTGTTTTCATTACATTGCATGAGACATGCACCCAAACCATACGACGAAGCATCTGCAGAAATAAAAATCTTCTTAGAAGGATCAAAATACGCTAAACAAGGACTAATTTGTAATAAGTGTTTAACTGTCTCAAACGATTCTTTTTGAGAAACACCCCACATAAAAGTTACATTTTTTTTTAACAACGAAGTTAGTGGCTCTAAAATCTCTGAACGATTAGAAATAAAGCGACTAGAAAAATTAATAATTCCCAAAAATTGTAACAATTCTTTTTTGTTTGTGGGTTCTGGATACTTATTGATTGAAGAAATTCTGTCTGGATCAATAGAAATACCTTTGTCAGAAATTTGATGACCTAAAAACTGCAAGGATTTAACTCTAAATACACATTTATCTTTATTTAATGTAATCTCTTCAGCAGCTATTCGAGAAAGAACTTCGTTTAATATTTTATCATGTTCTTCAATAGTCGCAGCAAAAATCAAAATATCATCAATATGACTAATTACACCTTCTATTCCAATTAGAATTTTAGTTAACAAGATCGAAAAATATTCTGGGGCACAAGAAATCCCAAACGGAAGTCTCTTAAATAAAAATCGACCAAAAGGGGTTATAAAAGTGGTTAAAACTTGACAATTTTTACTTAATTTGATTTGATGGAAGCCTGATGTAGTGTCCAGCTTACTAAAATAAACTGCCCCTTTTAACCTAGCTAAGATTAATTCTACCTTATTGTTTATTGGGAAATAAGAACGCAGAACAGCTGTATTTAAACGGGTGTAATCCACACACAATCTAATTTTTTCACCTTTCTTCACAACTACAATTGGACTGACCCAAGGAGTATAATAATCAACAGGTTCTATTATATTTAATTTTTGTAATCGTTCTAATTCCAATTTTAGTGAATCTAATAAGGCGAGGGGTACTATACGCGGTACAGATTGTACATAAGGTTGAACACCTTCTTTTACTTTTATCTCCATTTCAGTTTTAAACGTTCCGATATTACTAAAGATTCCTGGAAACTTTTCCGAAACAATTTCTTTTAATGAGCTATTATTAACTACAGTATTTAAATTTAATAAGCCATGATTATTTTTAAACTGAATAATATTTAAATTAATAATCCCAGTCCTCCCTAGAATAGGTTTTGTCAAATTTTTAATAATAAACAACACTGTCTTAAACAGTTTGTCCCCTTGGATCAAATTAACAGGCATAGTACCGACAGCCCCCAGCTTAATCCCAGACGGGCCAGAAATAATTTTATTTGACTTACGTACTTTATACAATAGATTCTCGGGCACATAATGAAATGGTAGGCAAGAAACGTCAGCACCAGTATCTACCATAAACTCAATAACTATGTTTAACCCTGAAACAAATAAGGAGGCGATCCATTCTTGAGTATTAATTTGGTTTAAATAAATCGTCCCTACAAGATCTACGTCTTCCTCTTCAGAAAGTAACTCCAAAGATTTAATCCTAACACTCCTACATACTCTAGCAAAATGTCCCTTTTTCTTGCATTTTCGACAAACTACTCCATTAGCAGGACACTTATCTCTGGAATGAGGTTGCAGACCACAAAAAGGACAGCGCTTATCACACTGATACTTCAAAGACTTATTCTGAAACGAGTTTTGTTTCTTCATATCACCCGTACTGCTACCACTGTTAGCATTTCTTGTCTCAACTGACAGTTTTGCAACTTGACGCTGACGCATGTCATTTTGAAGTTCTCTGTTCTGCTCAGCCTGAATTTCAGCTTGTTTTGCAGCCAATACGCAATCAGATAAAGTTAAATTTGTTTGCAATTGTAAACGCTCACTAGTCCGGGAGTCCAGCATTCCAACCACTATGCGATCTCTTATCAATTCTTCCTTTAGTGCTCCGTAGTCACAACTTTCAGGCAGAGAATGAAGACTAGTAATGAAACTCTCCACTGACTCCCCCGGTTTCTGAACTTTGGAATTAAGTTTGTAACGCTCAAAAATTATATTTCTTCTTGGAACAAAATGATTTTCAAAACACTGTAATGTCTCAGCATAACTCTTAGGTGTAACTGCAGCTTGCAATAAAATATCTTCAGATTCTTCTCTCATGATATACACCAATAAATTTATTTTCTCCTCTTCCAGCTTATCATTCTGTCCCGATATGGACATATATCGCTCAAACCGCTTTCTCCATTGGGGCCATGTATTAGGCATAGAAAATGTAAATTTTTCTGGTGGACTAACATGAGCTTGCATACCCATCGCCGGACTATGCGTTACCTTTACCGGATTAGGTGTTCTTTCCGGTCCAGTCATGATCTATGTAATTTCAAATTACTATTTATATCTTCTCTGCTATTTCTTCGTATGATTTTAACGAATATACGATCTTTTTACCGCTGCCACCATGTTTTATCAGTAAAAGATCTTGTTAATAGGAAAAGTGTATTTATTGACAACTCTCACAATTCGTCTTGTTATTCTATTCACTTATTTTTCCCCCCAGCCTGCTAACACAACACTAGTGACTGCTGATTTTCTCATGAACAAGTGTTCGCGCCCGACGTATTTAGCGCGTTAATTACTTGCTCTCTTTTAGAATGTTTTTAATTTTATAATTAGCGTAAATTTAGGCGCATGTTTTATTAATACGGTTAGTTGTAGTTTTAATTATTTTGTTTTTCATTTTTAGTAGCAATTATAGCTAGCCTATAAATATCCTTAATAGTGTATTTCAGAACTCCGTTCGTCTAAGCCATAAACCGTTCCAAAGATTGACAAATTCCAGGGTTTCTCAACCGTCGGTCGGTTGAGAGATGATAATTCTCCAAAATTACTGCTACAATCGAGCAAACGATTCGTTTTGTTTCATTAATTGTAAATGGTAAAGAAATAGGTTTCTTTTAAAAAAATTGCTATCTCGATTCCTCTTGTACATGTAAATACAGTACTTCAACAATTTTAACGTCACTACGTTAACCGCTAAGTGAATCGCTATATCATACAACCATGCTGAAAGTGCGCTATAGTTTTCTTGCTTCAACTCGTTTACCCTATACTAAAAGATAAGGACACCCTTAGATTCAACGCTTACCTACCTGCGAAAAAAAGGGAACAGCTTGTTCTTTAACAAAAGAAGCGCGGTAAAGCCTACTTACTGGGTGATAATTGTTGATTTACAATCACCCCGGTTTATGGCTTAGGCGAACGGAGTTCTGAAATACACTATAGCAGTTTATTAAATAGCGAAGTGCAGTGCTCGAATTCACGTTGTGTAGTTAGTGAATTTTTAGAATTAGTTTTATTAGGTTTCATGGGTTATTATTTCCTGAGGGTAAGCTAAGGAAGTATAAATAATCGAGTCCATCGAACGAACGGCTACTTTTATGTTTTCTCGACGTTTCATGACCCCTACAGTACGAAAAAGTAATATCCCGTTTTTGTCTGTCTGTCTGGCGTCTGTATCCAGTTTTATTAGACACGTATTTTCCGAAACTGTTGGATTGTTGTCAAATTTTGTATATATGTTAGAAATATTATGTAAATGATTAAACGCTAACCCTAATTTGGCTAATCAATTTAAAATGATTTGAATGTTATACAACAATATATTGTAGTCCTATACTTACTTGGAGTGTACGAATCCGCTTTCAGTTTGTTCGTTAAACGTTCAGATTTTCGCAAAAACATTTGCAATTGACCCATGCGAAAGGAGTAATGGACAACATTTTGAACATCTTCTTAACTGATTTGTTCATTTTTATGTTCTGTTCTTTATTAAAGCAACTTTTCCGTTAGAATTTCACTTATTTGAGTTTTTATAATGTTAATGTCAAAACTGACAAACTTTATATAGGTGCTATGTGTACATATTTATTAAAAGTAGAATTTTAAATCCACGTAAGCTGCGGAATGTAATATTGATTGCATTTTAAATTTTTTCAAGCTCATTATTACTCATGCATCACCCTGTATATAACGACATAAAACCATTGAGCTGTTATATGTATTACAGCTCATGCTTAATGGATAAAACACGTGGACGTATGAATAATTTTATCATTTATGAAAAGCATAAATATATAATAAGTATTTATATTGTTCCCTCCCCGGACATAACTTATTGAAGATATATGTAATTATGGAATATCAAACTCCGTACTAGTGGAATAAATGGAGTCTTCTCGTCTTTTGAGTACAGTTGCAAATCATGGGCGCTCCAATAACAAAAATTCTCAAATTTGACATTTTGTTTGTTCAAAAATGCTGCGCCACTGGTAAATAGCCAGACATACATTAATTTAAAAATTTTAAAAATTCCATGACAACGAAAAATCGTGCACTTTTGGGAGACCGCAACTGTACATGTTTTTATTTATTCGAGATGATGTCATAATTTTCATAATAAATAAATAGTCTCGAAATATCAGGTCAAAATGTCATTTTGGAATTAATGCCACAATTAATGGTGTAGGTAAGCGAAGAAAAATGTTGTTACCTCGGTGGGAATTGAGCTCACGCCTCTCGCTTTCCGGGCAAGCATCCAGACCACTAGATCACGAGGCGACGTGTTATTGTGCCGCCACAGTACTCCCTCCCCCCAGCGACACAGCGCGCGGAGGTGCTGGGGTGCGAAGGAGATAGATGCTGGCGTTGCCTCTGCTACTCTTACGTTCGTTGTTCGAACCTTGGCGATACTGCGGACCCTGAAAACAGGGAGCACAGGGCGGTGGCAGAAGGATGTTGCGTGCGTACGTGCTCTGTCGGGGGTCACCAATGTAGGTAAGTGAAGAAAAATGTTGTTATCTCGGTGGGAACCTACGCCTCTCGCTTTCCGGGCAAGCATGCAGACCACTAGACCACGAGGTGACTTATCTGTCTTCGCTTACGGACGTGTTATTGTGCCGCTATAAATTGTACAAATTGTTGTGCAATCACAACCAACTTAAATCAAAATTTTTTAACAGTACTTTTCTGCTGTGAATGTACTCGTTTATCTTAGAACTTAAATTAAAAAAGGCGCAGAATGAGTCGTGCACATTTAATGTATAAATTATGTATAACAATATCTTATTTATAAAAATACACAAATCCTTGGGAATGTTTTCATGGAATTTGCACCAAAATCTTAGATGTGCTATTTATCCTCAGTACTTGATTATCGAAATCACATTTGTTGGAACATTCAGCCTCCCCTTTAGTTCTGTAAGCTCCATCAGAACCAAACAGGCCTCAACCACCCCTCCTAACTTCTTAACTAACGTACAAGCAGCCCCCAGACTCCCACCTGTTGCCAATAAATCATCAACAATCAAAACCCTCTGTCCCTCCTTTATGCTACTTTCTTGAATTTCCATGTTCGCCTTAAAGCACAAAATAAACACGTTGTCCCTATCGCATCACACCATACCTCTCCATATTCCAGAGCATACGAAACCAAAGCCACTTTCCCTGGCAGTTTACCCTTTTTACGAACAGGCACGAAAGGCACTTCTAATTCCAAAGCAATGAACGGTGCCAGCAGGAAACCCCGGGCGTCTATGCCAACGACACATTCGACAGGCGGTTGGATTTGCGTAGCGAATGCGATGAGAACTTCCCGGAGCATCGCTACGAGTTCTGCGTTTTGGAACACTGAGAATACGTCTCTAAACTACGTGTAGTAGTAGATCTGGGGGTTGCTTACCTGAAGAGGACGCCAGGTTTGGGGAAATCGGGGTACTCGTTCACGTGGTCCCTGATTTTTCGGATCTTTTTCTCGAGGTCGAGGGGGTTCGACATGATGAAGGAGAGTGGTTGTAAAGTGATTTAATGGTAATTAGAAGATGGAAGAGCGAGTTCTAACAGGGTAATTGGTCCCTTCTTTGTATGACGTGTAAACGTTAAAAATAATGCGTAACATGACCTGTCAAAGTCATGAGTAGATGTTCAACTGCTGTGCTGATAATGATAAGTTGTAAAACGTTCTAAAAATGTTGGGTTAGGGAACAGCAACAAAATTTTAGGTTATATTTACGTCAATGTCAATACTTTTATTATTTACTGTAAATTGGCAGCGTAAACACCGCAGAGTAGTGGGAAGCAAATTTACGTAATATTGTCATTACAGGTCACATGTCATGTACTTCTGAAATTAATTAATTGTCAACAAAAGGTGGAATAGGATGTAAGATAGGCAACACAGTATACACTAGTCAAGAGTGTCGAAAGTTCGAAACAGTAACGCAGAAGCATGAAGCACAGTATAGCATGAAGTAACTAATAAGAAATAAACATTAATTCTTATTTGGCAGATTATATTCTATTTTTTTTTGTATGTTTTAGAAGAAAAGAAATAAAAGTTCATGTCAAAATAAAAATAAATAATTGACAACGAGAGCACAGACGTGAGTAACAACTTATGTAAATACTATTTTATTCAGAAAATATTAGACACTGTCATTCTATCATTTATGACAAATTATATGTGATTCAAGCTTTACTGTCATTTTGACACTTTTCAAAAATCTATTTTGTCAAACGATGCCTTTGATATTATTATTAATATCCGACACATATGACACTACTGCCAGTAAATTAGTGTTATCTAAATAAAGCACATTTTACAAGTTATGACATTAGTAAAATAAATGACAACTGCCCAATATTTTTTGAATAAAACTGTAATTATTAAAATAAGTATGTGAGACTTCAAGAAAAAACATCTATAAATGTCTTGTTAAAAGCGACATAAATATGCTTGGAGGAGTTTTAAAACCTGATCGTGTGTTCAGTGTTCACACACCCAAATTGTATTTTTATAGTATAATTTCCCAGCAGAGGAAGTTAAACAGAAATAAATAGAAAATAGTTATATACAGTTAAATCCATAAGCTTGTAACCACTCGTTAAATTGTAAGGTTGGCATTACAGCCAATGGTGTTTTTTACATGAACAGATTGGTAACGGCGCATGTGTCAAAATTTGACAATCACGAGCGAGCGAGTTTTATTTAAATATCTCATAGTTTGTTATTAAACCATATCATTGAAAAATGGTACCAACACGGCATATTGTGATAAATAAGCAGATGAAAATGGCACTTGCCAAATGCCACAATGAATTGAAACTTGCTTATCCGCAAGCATCCTCCCGAGAACTTGAATTCAAGCTTGCAAAAATCTTTTCAGTATGTGGTTATTTTTATCCCATGGACAGAGAGTACTATACTATGAGAGTAACGTATCGACATTCGGACCTTTTTTCATGTTATTACAACATGGTGGTCTGTCGAAAGACTTTTAGTTTTAACTACCTCAAGTTGAAAGTGTATATCTCGCTTTTTAGTATAACATTGTCTTTTCAAGTTTTATACCCACTCTTTATATCCTACACAATACAACTAAATGTCCGTCATTAAATTCAAACACTGCATAAACTTTACCTGTAAACTTATTACTTCCTATCCTTTCCATAATGTTTAAGTCCACAAAATTATAACCCAACACCAATCTGGAGAACCTTTACAAGAAGCAAAGTGGAAACCAAAACAAAAATCGCAGTGGTATTCAAATTTGGAATTTAAAGAAGATCTAACCTATCGTATATTTGACAAAAACAAAAAAAGTTTTTTACTATTCGGGATTTATTTATTTTTGCGAAAGAACATCTGGGATATACAGCAAGTTTAAATACTTTACATCGAGTATTAAATTCCATGGGATTCAGATTTAAGAAAGTTAATAACAGAAAAATGTTTGCTTTTTGGTTATTTGGTCTGTGTTCCCAATGTTTCTAACCACTCCTGTAACAGTAAGTTTAAATAAGCTGTCAAATTATTTTCAACATACCTATTATTTTAGCCTCTGAATTTTGTGAAGTTACATTTTGTTCATTATTACCACTGAAATCCTCAGGATGGAGGAGTATAGCCAGGCCTATCACCTTCAACCAAATTCTTTGTATACTTTGTAAATAATTAGTAGTACCAAATTAGAGTTATTAAACATAACATTAAAGACTTCTTGGTGTCTCATTTTTTTGATGAAAAATTGGTCATTTGTTGCGACTAATTAAGGTGAACAGTTATCTACCCATTATAGACAATTTTGGTGTTGCTCGCGAGATTGATTATTTCAGTTGGGAGAGCTGGTCCTTCGAGTCAAATCATATCATGGTTAGCCACACATATATCACGTACACTCATGTACAATAATTTAAACAAATTCTGATGTAGGTATTCAGTTATTCCCCATCTGTAAAGCGATTTTTATGAAGCAGCAACAATAAATAAATCAATTCACCTTGTTTTTTTACCAGCCCAATATCTGATTTCATTCGTGACCACAATATTTTTGGGTTCGTTTATCGTCATTCGTAAACGTATAGACTGCAAGTCTAAATTACAGCAGGTGGCATTCTTCTTTCTGCAGATGAAAGATAAAACACGTCTCTATTTATCGTTGCTCTTGTATTATAATTACCATGAAGACTCAGGTTATCGTGCTTTTATTGAAAATTGTTTATCAATTTTTACAATATTGCGACAAGTTACAATGATAATTATGAAATAACTTGTGCAGGACTGCAATAATTGCAATGAAATCGAACGTGATAACGAGCGCGAATACATGAATGAACTGACATTATATTGACAGGTCACCAGGCATGTCACTAGGTTACTAAAGACAGATTTACACTGAATAATTTTTTAAAATTTACACTAGGGAGTGGTTACAACCTTATGGATTTGAGTTTATGTACATATATACTTACATACATACTACACAAAGAACAAAGAGGGTCAAATAAAGACATTTAGAAGACATCCTTGGCACCTAATCAATTTAATAATTTTTGGGGGTGATGTCATCACTTATTTCAAAGATGAAAAAAAAAAAACAATAGAAAATAGGTAACAAAGATAAAATAGGTACCTAAAGGTCGTACACATTCAGGCCGAATCACAAGAAGCGTGCTCCTCTGCATGTTAATTTATTACAAATAGTAAAAAGTCAAAAAGTAAAGTGTGCACTTTTTTGAGCATTATATATTAAAATTATTTTTAACTACAAACGTTCTATAACGCACAATGTACTCTGTTTTTATGGACCAACCTATACTTTGCATAAAATGATTGGTCTTTTATTAGGTTTTATAACAATTGTTTATTTCAGCACTACAGGAGCAAGGTGTTAGGTATTAATTTTAGGGAATTTAGGAACCCCATATGCGACGTAATGAATGGCACCAAGTTATCTTTAACTTATTATTATGAATGTATGTGTCCATATTGTAGAAATTTCGAAATTAATTTTAGAAGTTTAATAAAACTCTTCCATCTTTATGACTTGCAAAAAACATTTTTTTTTTAATTATTTAACTTCAACAGAAATGTTCGTTCTTTTAATTTTGAATTTTGTTCCCAGAGTTTTTTCTTTGGGAAGTTTTTGTTTCATATTATTATTTTTGAAAAATACTTAATATTCATTTTTGTAAAGTCTGTTACAAGTTTTGTACCATTCTGTTCATTATTTTCAGTGTGCATATTAATTAAAACTTTATAGATTTTCCTCACTGAGAAAGGTACACTGACATCTAAAAAAAAAAAAAAATAAATAAATAAATAAAAAACCATATTTTATAAAACCACAACATATACATTATTAATGCATCTGCTATTTCCAATCACCATTGCACAACCATAACCTCTGTTTACAAAGAAGCCTTTATTTTTAGAAATGACGACAAACAACAAACACCGTTTCTGCGTTGGCACCTGAAACCTCAAACAGTAAACCCATCAAAAACACACGACTTCTATCTCTTCACAATTTAATGGAACTGAACTATTTACAAGAAATGATGCGAACCCATAAAAGAACATAAATTTATTACATAAACTTGTCTATCATTACTCTAGTGGGAACTAGCTTTACAGATTATACAGGAGCCTTGTGAACCAAGTTGAACCAGTGTCCGCATTCGCATCTTCTGGCCTGGCCCTTATGCAGCCACATCCAGTTAACACTAGTGGACTCCTCCTCGCAGATGCACCCCACAAGACGAGCCTCAAAAGCCGAGGGAATCTCGTTGGGCTTATCTTTGGTGCCGGGACCCCTCTTGATTACTTTGAGGTCGAAAGGGTTCTCGTTACCGGCTACTTTTGCCAAAAGCTCGCGCTTTTCCAGCCCAGTGGCGTGCTCAAGGGGGTCACCCATGGTCACTGTGACGAGATGCGGCTTTATTTTGGGGGGCTATGTTGTTACGTAATGGGAGATTGAGAGAATGGGAGGAGGACACACGAAGGTGAGTGGGACGCTCGGAGGGACTTACCCTTGGTGGCGAATCTGTAGCTGGTGCACAGCACATTTTTTCTAGCGCTGGAGACGGCAATTCGGGTGCAAAGTGAAGCCATTTTGGGAACTTTTCCCAAAAACTGACAGCTGATAAGTACTTCCGTTCGTTCGGTCGATTTTTTACTGCACGTAGAGGGCGCTGCGGCACCAGGTTCGAAACCGAAAAAAATTAAAACAATGGTTAGTTTAAAAACAATAAGAGGCGCTTTATGGTGTCTAGTGTGGAATTTGGATCAACGGAGGGACGTATTATTTGTTACACTCGAGATTTTGATTTTTAATTTGATAGTTTGGGAAATCGTAGCGCGATTGGTAGCACTGAACGTTCACTCAGACAGTGACGGCGCTATTTAGAAATAGTGCGATGACTGGCGGGGGCTTTGTTTAAATAAATTCATCATTTATTATATCAAAATAATGCATTAAGAAAAACTATAAGTGCAATATGTTTTAACGTAAATGACAAATATGTTTACCTCAGAGGCCAATTAAGATCTATTCACATTTTCAAAGGTTTGAAGACAAAAGTTCTTTACTGTGGCAGACTGTGGTACAGTTTCGGCCAGAAAACCTTGGGCAGTATTTTTCTGTCATTAAAAAAAAATACCATGTAGTCTATGCTTTATTGTCATAATGATTGACACTTTTAAAAAATAAATTTTGACATACGTCATCATCCATATTCCAGTCTACGTCAAAATGACAAACATGGCAAATTTGAGGTTATAAGTACGTAAAGCCTGTTTTAGAGCTTATGTCACAGGAATGACAGAACTGCCCAAGATTTTGTGGCCGAAACTGTAGATTATTTATGGATTACTTGATCCGTTACCTGATTTACAATCGCGGCCAGAAAATCTTCGACATCATTCTCATTCCACTGTCACAAAGTTTTGTCATTATTGACACTAACCACATGCCAACACTGCACGTGACGTGACAAATTTTTTAAACATCAAAGTCAAAATGCCAATAAAGTCTAGACAACTTTGAAATTTTTGAAATGACAGAAAAATGATGCCCGAAATAATTTGTCCACCACTGTATATTTTTTCTAATCTATTCGTTGTCATCTACAGGTATACTACAAAACAAGTTATTTACAATAGGCAAAACTCATTTCGCCTTTGAGATACAGTCGGTGGACATATAAAATTGGTACAAAACTGTCAAAAGAACATACAAAATTTGTTTTTTTACACCAAGGTTATATACCACGACAGATGGATAACACATGACTCGCATGAGCAAAATAAACGTTAAGAGACTATGGAACGAGTGGACGATTTTCATCCTCTGTGGTAATTTTTGTTTTTTTGGTATCTGGTTTCCGTATTATGGGCCCAAAATTTTCAGTTTTACTCTTCGCTGATAAAACTGTACTTTTACTGACCTGTAATTCATCAACAATAGCTTTTAGAGACACTCCCTCGTCAATTAAAGGCATTTTTAGATTTGAGCAAAACTTGAAACTGTCAAGAAGACGATCAAATCCAACTGCCATAAAAATTTTGAAATAACGTCATCAAGTTTTTGAAGATCAACAAACAAATTTTGATTAGCCATCCTTATGACAACCACTTTTGACCCTTCGCAAGATTTTAGAGCAGTCAGCTTTATCGCTTTTAAGTTAAATTGTACAATGTAATTTTACAATTTTGCTTTTTTGCCAAAATTCTAAATGTCTAAAATAAAAATAAGGAGAGAATACTACACTGTAGGTACAGAGACATGGGATTTTACAAAATTTAAGAGGGATTAATTAGTTTGCTAAATTTTCAGATGACGTCATCAGTTGTCCACAACGGATAATCAGACTAATTTTGGATAGCTTGAATAGATCTAAGGCTTACACTCGGGAAGTAAAAATTGAAGCTATTGCAGTAAATGTAAATAATTCAATTTCTTTCTCAAGAAATTTTGCAGGTTAGAATAACCTCTGAGAATAACATTTTATAAACTAATTCCGTTTTTTCTCCTTGAACGCCGGCACTGGCGTAAACAACGGCTCTTGATCTAAAATTAAATTTTTTTTTCTTCTGTTGTTAAAATAAATATTTAAAACCAGTTCAGAATTCAGAACGAAGTATAAAAATTTACTCATAAATTATAATTTGTATGTTAATAATAATTAATTAAACATAAAAATTTTGCTCGAAATTTTGCATTTACCGTTTAGGGAAACTGAGTTGCTCATGTTGGTGAGCCTGAATTTTCTAATCTGGCCATGCGCACAAGAATCACCACTTCCTTTCTCGTAAACGATTGACAAGGTACACGTTTTGTTGGATTTCTACGACCTTCTTTTAATTTTTGGTGACATAAATACATCACATTTGGTAATAATTCGTGCAAAATATAATTCCTGGGTATGTTAGCTGTGTTTAGTTTTTTTCACAAGGGCTGATGGTGTGAGGAATTTGTGATATTCGGTGATTAGAATGAAGACAACCGATGAATTCAAATTCCAAAATAGTAGTGTTTTGGGTTTTTTTGGTCAAAAACAGCACTCGTTATAGCATAACAAGGGTTGATGTATTTATCTTACTCAAAATTAATCTCGGTTATAAATTGTTTTTAGCAAGTTTGTGATTTTGAGGTTAAGTGTATCATATGCTTACAGAGTGGAAGAGTGAAGAAATATTTAATTAATAAGTGTGTTTTATGTTTCTAGATGTCATCGAAGATCGTAAAGTCAGGGGGCGGCGATCCCGATGCGTTTGAAACGCAAGTAGCTCAAGCTCTTCTGGAGCTTGAAATGAACTCGGACTTGAAGGCTCAATTGAGGGAGCTGCATATAACAAAAGCTAAGGAGATTGAGCTAAACAATAAAAAGGTGAGTAACAACACAAAAAATATCATTGTGGTCAAACTTGCATGATGAGTAAACTTAGGACACCTAACGAAATATAATGATTAGAAATGTTTCTCTGATCTATGTTTGAACTCCTCTTTTAAACTATACACCAAGAACGACAACTAATTTGTTCCATTTGTTTTAGTCGGTGATAATCTACGTGCCCATGCCCAAACTCAAACAGTTCCAGAAAATCCAAACTCGCTTGGTACGAGAACTGGAGAAGAAATTCAGTGGCAAGCATGTAGTTTTTGTGGGTGAGCGTAAAATTTTGCCTAAGCCCACTCGTAAGACGCGTACTAAAAACAAGCAGAAGCGTCCAAGGTCGCGCACTCTGACGGCCGTTTATGATGCGATCCTCGAAGATCTTGTATACCCTGCAGAAATTGTGGGGAAGAGGATTCGGGTTAGGTTGGACGGATCACAGCTCATTAAGGTCCACCTTGACAAAAATCAGCAAACTACAATTGAACACAAGGTAAAATTGTGACGCTTTTTTTTTTCATTTTGTTTTTTCATTGTGATGAGTATACTTAGGACACCTAAAGATGTGCCATGATTAGAATTTAATTGGTCTGAAAATGCATTGTCTCTTGTTATGAGGCGATTGTGAGGGAGAGGTTTTAACTTGTTTTCATTTCAGGTGGATACATTCGCTTCCGTTTACAAAAAACTGACAGGGAGGGAAGTCACTTTCGAGTTTCCAGAGCCCTATTTGTAATATGTGGACAGTTATTTAATAAATAATTGAAAAAATGTATTTTTTATTAAATCGAAATTGTTAAAGAGGTGTTTTTTTAGACTTAGCTTTGAAGCGAAACTTGCTAGCAAAAGTATGTTTGAGGTTGACCACGTGATTGTAAACAGATTTAACCTTAAAAGCTTCAAAAATCCATGGCTGCCTCTGATTGTATTTTCATTGCTTTCCATGATGGTAGATGGCGCTTGAAATGGTAGATAAGTAAAGTCACTAGATCTACTATTACTTTTAGAAAGTACGGCAAACTGCCTGTGGTCGGAATTCGACAGAGAGGAACCTAACCTATGTGTTAAACAAAGATAGCGCGAGGCTAGTAATTTTCGCTATCTGTCAACGAAAGTTTGATGTGTTTACGATTTGAGGTTACGACAGACTGTACTAGAATTATTGAGTTAACGGACCGGAAAGAACACTATTCCAGTCCCAAAGTAACTCCAGCCCTATTCAACGAGAAAGTGTCACCGGTAACCAGCAAAAAGTCGTGGAAGACGTGTTACCACCAAGGCAATTGACGGCCAATTGACAGTAACAGGATCGCCATACTGGAAGCAAAAAATACCTGCTGTCGAAAAGACGGAGCATAACAAGAACACAGATATATTTCTATTTCATAAAAGTTACTAATTGCCACACATTTCAAGATCGAGTCACATTATAGATAAGCGTGGTAAACTTTGAAAAAATTCATGTTTCACAATGAACTTCCCCCGTCTCCGCCTACAGGCGCTTTTAACAACACACAGTGGAGCAATAAAAACTTTAATGAAACACATCCCGATACAAAATAAATCACATAATCTAAGTAGACAAGCTTAACTGTATAAAATAAAATACAAAATCAGTACACTCACTTCCGTGATTATGGTACATACAAACTATACAACAAGTAAAATAACAAAGAATCCATCAATTTGTCTCAGAATTTTTGGTTTCCGTCGTCTCTAATACTTCCACAACCTCATCTTCTTTCTTATCTATGACCATCTTCTTCTCTTCTTGGCTTTTAACCCCATTTTTCGTCTCCTTAATCTCTTTCTTTCCAGTCACGTAATCCTCCAGGTCGACGTTTTCAAAAATCTGGTTCTCTCCAAAGCTCACTCGCTTTGTATGCGTTTTGTGGTTTGTGTTATTATTGAAAACTCTCGGTACTGGCATCTGTTCAATCACCGGGCTTTCTCTATTTTTGAGTGACTTATTTATGACAAGGTAATTTAATGGTACAACTCCTGAACGTCCGCTCGATAAAGCAAACGCCCAGCCAGAGTTCTTCAAGTTCATTTCTTCTTGAACGTATGTTGGCGCCAGAGTGACTTCGTCGTTTGTTTGAACGCTCAGCTCGTTAGAACTTCGTGCGATGAAGTCGAAGGCGGCTTTTGCTCTTATTCCGGGGGATTTCCAGTTGGTCGGGTCGCTTTTATCTGAAAAGGAGACGAGTTTGAGAAATCTTTTGTGTCTGATGGTATGTGGTAGATGTGTCGTACATCAAAGAAAAAAATCATGTCACGTTTATATGAAAATCTATAGTTCCAGGCTTTATTAAGCTTATGTCATACACTAAGTACAATTTATGAACATTTTTTGCCCAAATAAGAGTCGTCTCATTTGCAATGAAAATGTGAATTTGACGCATCAATAGATGACCTTTCAGTTAAATCAATGAAGTTTAGGGTTAATTGAAGATTGAGTTATTCAAGGCTGTTTGACTCTTTACTGTTTTATTTGGGTCTGCTTACTAAATGTTGACCATCGTAATACGACCACGTCATGCGGAAGCCAGTCAAAGTTTGTTCGATTATTTCATGAAAAATTAAAACGTATTCTAAACTGTTTCAACCGATAAAATATGAATTGGATTATGTGATACGTATTCAAACAGTAGTAAATATCTTCGATGGAGCAATTTTTTTTTGTAATTCGCCACACATGTTATTCAGATGCCTCTACATTCCCAGAAAGTTGAAGCATGTTTATTATTTTCTCGAAACAAGAGTCTATGGATCTGCATTTTTTCAAGGTTCAGTAGCTAGGGAACGATACAGACAAAATTTTTGCAACCGTTTATACACCTCTCGGAAGATAAACTTCATTTAGCTTATTTCTAGCAGCATAAAGCAACAGCACACACAGGAGGTTTAGCTTATTTGCAACAATTATAATCGAGTTAGAAGCCTGAAGCTTTATCCAGAATTTTCACCATGTTCTTCTGATCTTAAAGATCAAGTAATTAAATAGTTAGTAATTTTGACGAAATACATGAGTGAAATTTTACATTGTTGCTATAATATACATGAAGAAACTTACGTTTCTTAATAGAATGTATTTTTTTTATATACCTATGAATAAAAATAGTGTGTCAACTTACACAAAGAATTTATGATATTATTAGAACATAGGCTAATGTTCGGTTAAAAAAAATGCCCGGTATATTTTTTACCGTCTATGAACAAAATTGTCAGTTTTCAACTTAATGTTCTGCAGTGTATGCAACCAATTAAACACTTAGCAACAACAAATTAGGCAGTTACAAAATTCGAAAGAGGCGGAACAAATTAGTGTCCACTTGGATTTACGGAAGCCTGTCAAATTGAAATTTTGAGCACCAACTCAATAGAGGCCATCTTCTTATTACGTTTATAACGAGTCTTCATGTCAAAATTGACAACTATTGACTGGCATGGTACCACTGCTGCCAATTATTGAGTACTGCCAATACAAAAATTTGATTCAATTATTAATAATTAACCTGTATTATGAATGTTAAATACATCTACGTGATGTTACAGGTCTTGAAATGAGATAGCTTATTCCATTGAATTTAATCTTATAACAACAGCTGAGGTCAACAACTGTACTAAATATTCTTTTATTTGAAGTTAAACTACAGATTACACGTTATATAGCTGTACGCATCTTGGTGTTGCCTTTGTTTGTGGTAATCATGGTATGAAGATGAATTTCCATTGAGGTGGGAAAAAAACATTACACAGTCCCACATTTTTTCAAAAAATCAAACTTCAATCATTCCGGAAAAAGTCGCTGTAAAAGTTTCACAAACTCTGGATATTGCAAACAATTTGAAAACGTTCTTACCATTTTTGCGGCACTATGAGTCTGTGCACAAGGTCAGTCAAAGTTAACAAAGCGCCAAGCACCAATGAATTGTCCTATGGTAATTAGACTTTTACCTCATTACTTCATGTTATTCGCAAAATATATTTTTTTAATAACGAAAAAGACTTATCGGGCGATAAAAATTACGGTTTCTATTTTAAGAACCTGAATCGGCGATTTGATGAATCATTTTAGAAGGTTATATGTTATATTACAACAACACAACATAGATATGGAAAACAATCAAACGAGTATACAGTGATTAATCAACGGCACAGTTTTATACGTCTTCATTAAATAACTTGAAAACGCTTCACAACAAAATGAACACAAGCCTTGTTGTGGGCGGAAACAATAAAATGTTAACAAAAAGAGGACGTACTTGACTATACATTGCCGAAAAGTAGCGAACGTCACTGTTTGTTATCAGAAGGTTAAGTCCAAAACTCAACATACACAAAATTGTTGATGTTAGTCTAGTGAATAAGCTATTTTTCTACTACATATTTAAATTGTAATAATTTTAGAATCGAACGATTTTTTTAAGTGGAAACAACGTCATTGCGTTTAAACTGACTAATGTTAAAATTCATTGTGATATAACAACTGTGAAGATAAAAACTTAAACTGGTTTTCATTAACATACAAGCGCTTTAATGTTAACGAAAATAGGCATTTATTTATTTAATGAGGTCTAATTAAGTTTTTTGAAGCATCCGTCTCTGTTTGGAATTGAATGCTATAACTCTGATGTAAAAATAAAATAAAATATAATAAAATAAGTTAGCCTAATAAAGTCCTTGAAGACACGAACATGTTTAATTTTCAGTTAACATATTTATGCGTATTTTGTGTGTGGTGTTTTATCTTATCATAAGCAATCTTCACAAACATTGAATCTCAGTTTTTTATCTTTGTAGTTAATACAAATAAATGTTCGGATTCTCAAATTTTTTGAATATTTGTAAGCCCTAGTTCAAACATGTTCGAAATGTTTTTAGGGTTTACGATTTTTCGGTAAAATGGGAGTCTGTGCAGAACCAACACTGATTTCAGACAAAACCGTGTGTAATTTATGGTATACAACAAAAAGCCTAATATTCGAAAATCTTAAATTTTGTTGTTTTTGTTGTGTACGAGGTGAAACATACTGAGTGTTGTTAAAAACATTAATATTTTCAAAATATTTTTGTAATCTGCTGTTTGTTTTAGAAACATATCAAATTTTTGGGGTGCTATCGCGCTCAAAAAATTTTAAGACGCCATGTTTCCGTAACTTAATACGTAATATTTTATGTTTCTGATGGGGTTTAAATCGGGATTGCTCGACGTCTAATTTATTGATATGGTGTTCTTTAAAATGGCAAGCATTCATCCAGTAGTCGGCGATATACAAGGGCATTTAATCTTTCTTCTGTCCCGGCAGTAGTAATCTATTGTTGAGGAAGTTAACTTTTACGCAGTGGGGTACTATCATAAAGCAGAATTAAAACTGTTATTTTAAATATTTATTAGATTATTAAAAAATTATACCACGAAGTACATACCGAAACATTGCAAGTTCCCCCTAATGCACCATCACTGATAAAAATTAAGCTACAAGATTTAGGTAGAGAATGGGGATTAGCACGGAGTTTATGAGAAAAAGAATATCTTGACCAAAACGATATTTCGATTTGGATGAGCATTTTCGAAAACAGTCCATGTTTTGGACCTAATCAGAATCGTTAAACTTTTACGTTGTGTCCTCAGATGTTTTGAATAATGCTTCTGACTGAGAATTATATCAAATGGGTAGAGACTTGAACATAAAACATTCTCAAAATATTTCGGACACGATATCGTCTCAACTACAAAATTTTTATTAGTGTTTTAAAAACGGTATTTTAAAAATTATTCCTATAATGGAATTAGCGGAATATACGTAGGTACATACATATAAATAAAAAAATTCTTCCTGCACTAGCTTTAGCGAAATTATTATCTACAGTATATTTAATTTTTATCAGTATACCTGTTTCGGTGGCTGTGACAAGGTCTTCTCAAAATTAAAAATAAAGAAAAAAATTTTAAGTAACACAAAATCCGGCCACAAATTAATTTTTCTAATTTTTTCGATTGAAAATGAAATTTTCGCAAGCACAAATATTTTAACTGGGCACTGCATCAATTTTGCATTTCGAGGTTAAAAAAAAAACATTTTCGCGTACGTAGAAGCGAATTAAGTCAACTGAAAGTCGCGCAATTATACTACAAAACTCAACATCATTATAATAACGTGACAACATGCTAATTCTAAAACGCAGTATGTCGTACTAATGATACTTGATAATTGTTTTTCCTCAATAACACCGCACGCACACACAATACATCATTAACTTTCCGACTTTTTTGATAATGTTAGGAAACCCTATGATGCCGCAGATCCATTTAAACAAAGAACCGCACGCCAATATAAAAAGATGAATAGCATATTGTACAATCCTAGCAAATCCTCTACTCATTATTATCGTTAATCGTAAATTCCACTTATCGATACATCTGCGACCTACAGTAGCTTATATCTTATCACCCGTACTCAATACTGAAAACGATTTAAACAATTCTTTAAATATAAACCACCTTTATGTAACTTTTTTATTTCTATGATAAAAAAGTTATTAAAAAAATTGTCTAGTCAGAATTCAGAAAGTCAGTCAAATAAGTCCAGTTATATTATTATTATTATTATTACTCTCAGGTATGGCCATGGATCTTTACTCTGGATATCGGCATAGTTAATAAATTATCTACTTGTCTAATCACCTTATGTAATCAAGCGAAAAGTTTTGTACAATATCTTATACTAGATTAAGTTGATTGTAAACTTTTATGTCTCTATAGTATAGAGTATAGACTTTTCTAATGGAAAGATGTATAGTGGAGTGGTATGCGAAGGTATCTATCTACTGATCCTAGTTTATACACTCATATCCGCAAAGTGCGGATTCAGAACTGTAGAAAATATATATTACATATTTTTTTTTACAAAGTCAAATTGCAAAAATAATTTAAAAAATTTAAATTTACGCAAAGGTCAAAATTTTAGAAATTGTACTGGATACATTATGGGCTTTTTTTTGTTTGAAATGAGATACACTAAAAAGAAATTTCTAGCAGAAGATTCATTTTTTTGTAACTCATTTCTAACAAGAAAGCTGACAATATATCCGATACGGTTTCTAAGCTGAAAACAGTGTTGAAAACCCCGTTCCAAAATTGACATAAACAATTAGATGCTGATTTTTAGAAGATACGTGATTCAAAAATTTAACTTACAATTTATCTTGAAACTTTTAACATGCGTTGCATATTCCTTTTTTTCAGTTTGTAGATCCTATAAGTTGACAATTATTATTTTAGGCTAGTAAATACGTATTTCTTACATCTACTGACTTGTGAAATTTAAAAATGTTGCAGATTTGCCATTTCTTAGTAATGGTGGACACTTTTAAATTTTTAATTAACACGATTAATATGTCACCTGTCAGAATACTGATGACATTTGAACTTTCGTTGCAATTATAATTACACACTCCAAAAGTGGGGGAACAAATCAGAGGTCACTGGATGTTAGAATCATTATGAAAGCCTTATGTAAATCACCAAAATTTTCTTGATTCCATCATCAACTCTTTAGATATCCATTTATGAGACCATTTTTTTTTAATATTGTGCAATTTAAATATAAACAGTTTTGAGACGGGTGATCGTCGTTGTATAAATTTAATTTTAATAAAAAAAAAATTTTTAAAAATATGAGTTGACTGATAAACCACGTGTAAAAAAAAACCATATTTCACACCTTTTAAACATAAGTAAACTTTTGAATGACGTCATCAAAATTTCGGTGGGGATAGATTCACAAACTTTGCTAAGCCATTCACTCACTCACCTTCGTATTTCGGCAGAAACTTGCTGATGATGTACGGCGCCGACACCAGCACCCCCAAGAAGGCCAGCGTAGGCCAGCTCGAGCCCGGGGCCGCCGCCGAGGGTGGCGCCCCATTCGCCGCCTGCTTCCACGCGATGGAAACATCCGTGCTGGGTACTTTCCTGCCCATCAGCCACATGAGCTTCCGGTATAACCAGCTGAACAACCTGAAGATGTTAATCGAGTACCAGATGTGGCCGAACATCGAGCGCAACCTCCCAAAGTTCTCGGCGACGCTGAGTACGGCCCTAAACGAGCTCGTCATCGCGAAAAACGTGTTGTCCAGCATCATCGAAATGCTGTTGACAGCCCTGACGATGCTCTCGACGCTCGCGAAAGTGTTTCTAGAGCTCTCCTCTGCGTACTGGACGAAGCGCCTTTCGGCGTCGTCGTTGGGGGCGTATGTCGGGTAGCCCCCCATTCCGTACATGTTGTAGTTGTTGTAGCCCCCATACGAACCGTACGAGTTGTACATGGAGCTGCGGTACGGCATGCCGTATGTGCTGTAGCCGCCATAGCCGAGGCTGTTGTACCCTGGAGAGAATGGCAAGGGTTAAAGATGGTTTTGTAATTGTGTAAATCTAGGAAACACTTGAGGTTTTCGCACTCTCGGGTATAAATAAAATGCAACTTTAGCCCCTCAGAAAGAGCGTGAAGTGGCACTTTTGCGCCATAAGGAGCAGTGTACGCCCTCAAAATGTTCTAGTTATCATCTATTGTGTGAACATTTGAGTGAAAATTTAAGGTAATGTTTGATTAGCATGATTTGATCGAAAGTTTGGGAATATTGCACTATCAATAGTTCCATGAAATGAATAATTTCTTTTTCTTTTCTAACTTTCGCGGTGCTTGGTAAATGCGCATAATTACCAAATTTATTTCCAGTAGCATATACATATGCAAGTGCTGATGATAAACTGGCTTATACAGAACCAGTGTTAATTAAAAGTAACCTTGACGCTAAAAAGTGTATCAACTACAAGATTTATAAATAGTGCCAAACAATTTTTTCTAACGTCATTTACAATTAATTGATTACATTTTTATTGTATTTAATTTTAAACAACTGTTCATTAAAAACGTTCAAACAAGTTTCTTAATTGTGCTTGTTTCCAATTATTCATTTCTGCCTTTGTTTTTTTAACATTATTTTCTAAACATTTTCAAAAATAACTTTCCTGTATTTTTCAAATACTGACATAGGTAACATTAATTGAACTTTTTATTTATTTATTCTTCATTAAAAATTAATAAATCGATTGTTTGAAAAACTTAACTTTAATGGACCTTGCATAAAATTTAGTCTTATACACGCGTGGGGTCATAAACTGAATATATATGAGTATATAACAGTCGTTCTGAACTTCTTTCTATTAATATTAATTTAATGTTCCCAAAAATACGAGGCGTTGTAGTAAATCTTTCGGTACTTCATATTAACTAAAAACAAGCAATATTACCAAATTTTACAACCGCAACTTCATAACGTTATTTTAGTTTTTTAATAAGTTCACAAAAAACAAACGTTTCTCTTCAATTTTATTAATACGACTTAACAATGGGCTCCATTGTAAAAAGTTATTGCCAATTTTGCACGGTAATTTTATAAAAATCCACACATTCTTTCAGGGCCTACAGCTTTGTTGAAACTTCCCAGGTTTGACCATTAAGGACAACCGGTTTTCGCGTTTTTTTGCTTACCACTGGAGTATGGAGGGTACGAGCTGTACGTGGAGTTTGTCACCATGGGCGAGTTACGCGGCAACGGGGGCAAGATGGGGGCACTTCGGGTGTTCGTGGGGATGTCGCGCAAGCTGTTGTTTGTGTATTTCCTAATTTGGGTCGAGTTTTGCAGAGAGTTGCTCTCCCAAGGTTTAATTGGCGAAGTCATTGTGTTTGCTTAAGATTTGCTGTATCACATTTTTTCTAAGCTTGTTTCAACACTGTTGCCTCTAAAATATTTACACATAATAACAATACAAAAACTGAGCAGATTCGAAAGTCTTATCACTTATCAGCATGAACTTTGACACTGTCGAATGACATTTGGAATTGACAGTTGTACGTCAGGTCCCCCGCCTAGGGAGTTTGTTGTGAACGCACCAAAAATCACTAAATCAAAAAAGGAAGCGCGGCAAAAGTGATTTCGGGGTGGTGGTTTAAAAGAGGGTTGTTTTTAGAAAAATGGAGGAGGCTAAAACGTAAGTAGGATTACATTTTGATGTGTTGTTATTGTTAGTTGGAAAGGGTTGCGCTTTGTATTTCTTGGTGAGAGTTTTTATTGACGTAAATTTATTTTGTAGGTTATGTTGACCGAGACTAGTAAATAAATATGTATAAAGTTGCGTCTACATAGTGTGTGACTGGTTGCATAATTTACTTAGTAAAAATTGTGGTTTTAAAATAAAAAGTTTGATGTGACTTGTCGTCCAAAATGATTTCTAGCAAAATAAATCGCAAAAAAGTAAATGTAAACATTATTAAGAAGAAAAATTCCAACAAGGCTTAAAAAGTTGCAGACAAAACTTAGTGCCAAAGTGAATTTGTAATAAAACCTACACTTAATTAGTCAAAATTTTGAAATTTGATTTGATTGTGAATTTACAAACAGTGAAGGAGTAATTACAACTAGACGTGTTGATGGACTCGTTTAATTTTAGAACACTTCAGATTGAAAAAATTGTTACTAAACTGATTATACGTTAATTACACTTGAGGGGGGGTCCATGGCGTTTACGCGATTTATTTTTTATGTGTAATAATTATCCTTTAGTAAAATTTAACAAACAAAATTTAACATACCGTTTCGTCACATGGCTATACTGTCACGTTCCTAACAGAAGTGAACGAGGCTGTAGAAAACCTTTCAAGTGGGAGTATTGTTTTGAACTTCTAGAAGAGGCCCTCAAATTCTATCTGCAGTCCTGCACTACATTCCAACCCTATGCTTTACTGACCTAAAGGCAAGAACAACCTAAAGAGGGAATTTTAATATTGCTTTAAACACACGAAAGCATCTATGGTTGCCTATATTATTGAAATGATTTTTGTTTTTCAGAAGCAATTTCCTGACACTTTTTTTAGTACTGAATTTGATTTTCAAATCAGAACACCTCAACATAAGTAACACTATGGTGTTGACTTATACATATTATTTCTACAACTACATTGAATTGACGTGTCTGAGTATAGCTTATAGTTATGTAATATACAAATCTCCTGAAAATTTTGACGCAAGTTATATTTCTCTGTTACGAAGTTTATCTCCGGCTTAATTTAGAGTGAGGCAAATTTGTTATACTGAAAATTTTCTAACTGGAAAGGTTAAACCCTGCTTTGGTCTCATCAGTACCCTACATTTTTATTGTGCCATATTTCAGTGGTTGTTTAGGATTCCAAACTATTTACACTAAGTGCTTTTAATAAACAGGGTAAAGGCATACATATAAGGGATTTCGGTAGTGACCCATTAGGTTACATTTTTGTCGCAAGTCTTTCCCCACTTTAATCGAACTAACCAATGGATGAAAATAGATAAATGTATAAAAAACATATAAACGGACTGGACCTTTCTCTCGTATAGATGATGTGACTGTAGTAACGATAGGCATAATTCAGCGTCCGGCGGGGCTTGCTTTTGTTCCAAAGGTAGCTACTTCCAGCCACTGGTTGGTTCGCTTAAAAAAGTGCGCAAAGGTTTGCGACAAAAGTTTAATCACTACCGAAATCCTTTATATTTTACTAATTTATTAATTTGATATGACGTCATCAGCATCTTAGATGGGATGAATTATTGTTTTAGACGCAGTTTAAACAACATAAACGAAATGCTCCACCTAGCGAAACTCAACGAAAATGACATCCTTCCAACTTCACAGACAATTTATTTCACAAAAAATAACCTTTACAACAATGATTACAAAATCTTGGAGCTTGACCAACACTTACTGGAAGTACTGAAAGAAGGTCAAACGCTATACATCAAAGGCGACGACGACGAAAATGTAGTTCTGTGTACAGATAATCAAACTTACGACGTCACAGGTGCCGAAACTTCAAATAGTTTGCTTGTGGTCAACAATTTAAATTTTTACGATAATTTAAAACTCGAAACAGAGAGAAAATTCAAGACAGTTACGGTTGCGGGAATATTTTATGAGTATTTGGCTGTGACTCCTGGTAAACCTCATATAGGAAAACTGATGGAACTCCTAAACAAGTCGCTGTATAAAGGACCAGAACATGAGTATGAAGTAAAAGAAGATGATTTGTATAGTTTCGACGATCTAAATAATAAAATACAAGCTTCTGAGAAAGAACTGAAAGATATATTAAATAATTTGACGATAGTGACTATCAATAATAAAATCAGGCTTCTAGACGTTGAGTTTCACTTTAGAGCGTTATCTTACATGTTAAAATTAATTGATGAGAACTCATGGGGCTTGGATGAAATCGACTATGAAGAAACTTTAACGTCTCTCAAAGATATCATTCCAGAAGAGATTTTAATCAGTTTGTTTGACAAATACGCCGAAGAATCTCAAATAATCGATGGTTTGCAGCTATATCAGTACAAAGAATCTGATATATGTAAATTTTTCGCGCAAATTCTCTTATACGCCGCTGATAAATTCAATTTGAACGAGTTCCTACAAGCATGGAAGGACTCAGTGCCTGAAGGCATGATACCTCACGAGGATTTGCTATATGGAATTGCGATAATAGACCGTAAGTCAACTCCGAACATCATTTCGGCATTTCCGGAGGACAGTTTACCAGAAGATATTAATGCAAGATTTGGGGTTTTGTTCAGGGTGAAGGATAAGTGGACGGTGCCTGAAATTACTCCGTACATTCAGTGAGTTTTATGTTTTTTTTTGTTTTTCTTTATTTTTATGGGTGATTGTAGGAGACTGGCTACTCCAAAAATGGACGTCAACGCGCTTTTGGCGAAGTTCGCGCGCGCTTCTACTGTAGACGGTGTTAAGTATTATTCTGCGAAACATGCAAAGTGAAGTTACATTTCGTGTATTTTTTAAATTAAGTAAAATAAAAAAGAATTGTAGTAGTAATGTTGGTTGCATACTCATGTACGTGTAGACCTACCTTTACCCTGAAGCTACCCATTGTGAACCAGCCTTTCCGGCGAACGCATGCCCATAGGCGTATCCTGTGGGTGAATGTAGGTGTAAATAATAATTTTTAAATTAGAAAAACACAAAAATGCCTGACTGCAGCGAAAACTACGAGAACGAAATTCTCGACGGCCGCAATTTTCGGAGTGTGAAGTGCAAATTCTGTGATTCAGTGATCTTAAGTCCATCCTCGGCCACATTCACAAGTTTTGAGGTTAGTTTTGCTTTTTTTGTTTATTTATTGAAAAGCTTGTAATTTCCAGTTCCAGTTGCCCCTTATCAGACAAAGCAAACTCAATGAATCAAATCCCGAGACCGAGACCGTGTCGCTATTTTGGAGCGTCAATGATATGTTTGAATTTCAGAATGTAGGTTTTTCGTGTTCGGTGGGAAACAACAAGTATTTAGCTTGTGCTGACTGTGAGGCTGGACCGATAGGGTATCATGATTTGACCAATAAGAAGAGCTATGTTGCATTGAGTAGGGTGCAACATTCTTAGTAGGTACGGGAGGGGTTGGGAGCTTAGTTCGAAGGACATAGGTTTTTTTTTACATAAACTGTACTGATAAGTTTTCTATTTATGTAATATATGAATGTGAAAATATATATTTACATTAGTTGAGCGTTTTTTATTGAGTTAGAGTGTAAAAAAAAAAACAAGGTGTGGTGTTACTGTTGTAGTGATTCAATTGTGTCAAAAAAAGAACTCAATTTTTACCATTGTAAGCCATATTGGAGCTACTTATTTATGATTGTTTATTAATAGTTGGTTTTCTTTCAAATTTTTATGTATACCTACAGGTGTTCCAACATATTGCGCCATGTTGTTTTTCATAACATCTTCAGAGAGTGATCTCCAGTTCTTAGATAACCCCCTAAATTTATAATATTTATTACGGAAACCTACTTTACAAATAATGATTACATGACATTCAGAAACACAATAATTTTTCACCTTACTGTTGTTTCTAAACTTTGTAGCATATGAATGTTGTAAAAAATGTTGATAAGTTTATATTTTGGAGAAATAAAAGATTTTTCTAATCTTGTTATTATGTTATATTACGAACATAATTGGTACCCAAGTATCCCTAAATTTTCGGCTGTTATTTTTTCAAACTGATTTTTTTCATGCTGAATGCTTACATTGATATCTGTAGGATTACGTTTGAAGGCATTGTAAATACCATAATTACGTTTATAATTATATTCAACCCTGATATATTTATATCTTGCCTTAAGTACTAGACGGTGTATCGCCTCGTTAAAATTTCTTCGTAATGTGATAAATTTTAACGTTGATTGCACTGATCTTCTTGGTAAGATATTCATCTTGGTACCTAGAATGTCATCTCGATCTAATCAATGTTTTTATCTTCCAACTCCTCGTCTAAATATCGAAAAACACTCTCCAGTCTATGAAATGTGTCACCAGTATAACTTAGATCCGTATGTCTTTGATATCTTTAGATAACTTTGTCTAGTATTAGTTTCAGTTTTGATATCGCCTTGGCATGCTGAACTCTTATCAAAGAACTCCAGTAATTATAGCTGCAGTATTTCTTCCTTTCTTCATGTTAAGGCGTATTATAGTTGACCTGTAATTGGGCTTTGACCTGTTGGTCAACTTACTACTTAATAATAATAATAATAATAATAATATCTAATAACTTCTTGACTTGTTCTTAAGATTTTTAACTAAGTAAATTATTTAACTGGAATTTTACATTTTACAAAAAAGTACTTTGGCAATATAATTTAATTTGAATCTGAAAGTAAACTTTGGATTACCTGAATTGTTTTAAAAGTCATTTGAGCTATTATAGTGCATTTAGGCAAAGAAACGTCCCTTAAAAAATTACTTATTTTATTAATCAAATATTTACATAAATATTCAGACCCTACATAAAATTACAAAACTTAAATAAAAATACTGCGCTTAAATAACTTAAATCTCTTCGGAACTACATTGGCAGGATTGGTGACACCTTAATTCTTATACGTTAATCTCTGATTCTTCAACCAAAGACAAGCACTAACAATACTACTGGCAGTGAGAAGCGAGATCACAATGACCGAAGACAAAACGAAATTCTGCACGGTCATGCAAACCCCATCCATTTCGTTCATGTTGACGACGGCATAGCCACTCTCGTTCAACTCCTCGGGCAAAATCACCCTCAAGTGTTTGCCCATGGTGACGCCATCACCTATAGTGTTGTTGGAGTAGCTCACGTCTCGCTTTCTGCGTCTACCAGGCTCGATTTGCTGGTTGGATTCTGGACACACCTGGCAGTCGGTCTTGCAGAGCTCTATGTTGCACTGGATCATCAAGTCCATGATGTCTGGGAATTTGAAGGCGTTAAAGAAGGCGTAAGCTATAATGGAAGCCCCACTGCTTCCAGTGTTCCTGGTCTTCTGGAAGGCCCCGAAGAGCTTGGGTTTGAGGATGCAGCCGTTTTCGTCGGTGAGGGGGTAAACCTTATCCCCGGAGGAGTCCGTGGCCTTACAGTCTTTCACTTGGATGTCGAAACCGGGGTCACCGCTGACGGAAATCACCAGGGTCATTTGTTCGCCGATTTTGACCAGGCCGTTCGCTGGAGGAGCGAAGGGACCTCGTCCTAGCTGAATATCGAGTTTAGCCATAGCCGTGTCCCCGCTAAAGGTGACGGTTTCTTGGCTTAACATCCCCACGGTTAATCCCACGCTCAAAGAATCCTTCAAATTTCCCTCCCAAAGGCATCTGACTGCTCGAATCGTGTCCCAGACCTCTTGGATCCCTTGCTCGTTCTGAATCACCAGGACGTTCTCCAGATAAGATTGTCCCTGGGTCTCGAACGCGTTGACAAACTCCGTTCCACAAGAATTCAGACTCACGGTGAAGCGGTACTTCGTCTGCTCGGAGTTCTCGTTCACATACCTACATTCAGGCGTGTCGTAGTACCCCTTGGAGTAAATCACCCCATTGAACTCCCTGTTGAACTCAATACTGATGGTCATCATGTCCTTGGCACATTCTACTTCTATCGCGTGGATATGCGGAGGATGCTTCGAATCATCGTCGCCAGATGGGCCCAAGGTCGGCTCAGTTGTCACTCCAGGACCTTCCGTTGGTGTTACGTCACCGGATGAAATCGTGGTGGTGTCGCCTTCAGTCGTTTGGGAGGTGATGGCAGGGGAGGTGAAGTGTGTAGTGGGGGCGGAAGTGATGGGCGAGCCGGTGGAGGGACTGGGAGTCTGGGGGGCTTCAGTAGTCACGGGAGGACCGTAGGTGGAGGAGGGGTAACCGGTCGAGAATGGGGGCTGGGTGGGATAGCCGGTGGAGAATGGGGGCTGGGTGGGGTAGCCAGTGGAGAACGGGGGTTGGGTGGGGTAGCCGGTCGACACTGGTGGCGAAGTTGGGAAAGTGGGACGCTGACTGGGGTACCCAGTTGGAGGATTGGTGGGGAAGCCGGGGCGTTGGGTGGGGTACCCAGTTGGAGAACTGGTGGGGAAACCGGGACGCTGGGTAGGGTACCCAGTTGGAGGACCGGTGGGGAAACCGGGGCGCTGGGTGGGGAAACCGGGACGTTGAGTGGGGTATCCTGAAAGAAGGTAATAGTTGAGTGAGGGTTGACGTACTTTTTGAACTAAAAGCTACATTTTTTGAAAGAAATGTGTGAATTTTGGGAATTTAGATACTTACTAATGTTGCACAAGGGTTGTGTAACTTTAAGTACAACGTTCTAGTTATAGTCTGTCAGTAACTATACAAGTAACTTGGAGATGAACAAAATGGATTAAAAAAAAATAAACTAAGATAAAAATGTGTTCAAAATGAAATGATGTTAAAAGTTAACGAAAGGTAGAAAGAATTCTTTGTAAAATATAGAAAAACTGTTGATGATTTTTGGAACGTTTTATGATGAATAAAACTGAGATAGATACAGTTATATGAAGAAAAAATGTATACTTACATGTATAAAAAGAAGGAAAAGGATATATGCCTAAGAAACTATGGACATGAATAAGTTAGATTAAGAAAAACAAAAGAAAATAAGATAAAGATGTGTTTAAAATAAATTGTGGCAAAAAAATAAGGAAAAGTTAAAATGAAAAAAAAATAACAATTTGAATTGTACGGAAGAAAATATGTGCCTAATACAAATTTCAGTTGTTTGTAAAGTTAAAAAAATCGACTTTTCGATTGTTTTGATACATGGTGTGATAAATAATATTGAGATAGATATAGTGACATGAAAAAAAATATCTGGAAAAAGCTACATGTAAAAGAAGTGATTTCGCTATGTTGAAAGAAAAAAAAAGGAAGCATATGTTATCAACGTCGGGAAAAACGAGGAGTGAGAATTAAGGCAATAACTGATTAACTGTGAGGATGACTATCAGCTTGTTTATTTAATTTGTGTAGATGTTTTGCTCTTCGTTCTGATGATGAACCTGATTTTTATGGATCAGATCTCAAATTTATAGTTCCAAAACTTGTAAAACGCGTGTAATTTCGAACTTAATAATTTAATGTGAAATTATAACCCATCCGATGAACACATTAGCGTAAAGAATAACGAATCTAGTATACAAAAGATGCATAGATAAGCAGTAAACAAAAAATTAAAGATTCATAAGGAAAAATACAATTATATTTATGACACTGGAGCTAAACACATAACTATTCCCTATCATCGAATTGTGAAACAAATATGAAAGAAGATACTAAAAGTACACCTATAAGAAGTACCGGACCAGAGCACAAATAAAGCAAATGAACACATATCGAAAAAACACTTAAAAACCAAACAGGTGCTGCCACAGTCCCGATTGCTAGAAATCGTAGCTACCTTCAAATCCAGGTCCCTCTGGAAATCCAAATTTTGGAAAATCTACACTTGGAAAATCAATACTTGGAAAACCTGATACTGGGGGAAAACCTACCAATTTATTACAAGAGTTGTACACCACAAAACCTTCCACATACCTGTAAATGGAGGCTGAGAGCTAGGAAATCCCGTATATGGTGGAGTGATATCGTTGTTAGGCGATGGGAATGGAGGTTGAGGGGTGATTCCTGCTGGTGGGTAGCCAACTGGTTCGAAAGGCCTTGGTTTCTGGGTGTTGCTGGGAGGGAGATATTCACGAAGAGTTCCCTGGCGAACTAAACAAAGAAAAATGTTACTTTAATTTTAAGCTGTAAGCCAGTAATAGGAAAAATCGTCTCAAGTGGGAGACTGATTTGCATTTCTACTATTTTTATTGCACATAACTGTATTAATGCTGCTATTAATAGTCAAACGGTGAACGCACGCACCCATGCACTACGTAATTAGTAATTACAATTAGCAATGAATCCCCCATTATGTGTAAATTATACACAAGGATGTGGTTAATGCGACAATTCATTTAGATTAATGTTTCCAGTTTTTCAGCTCCATAACACAATGTAACGACATTCATTCATGAAGCCATTACTGGGTGTAATTAGCCGCGATAATTGCACAAATCTGGCTAATTATGGTAAAGCTGTCTTATCAAGATGTACGTGGGATTTTCATCAGCTTTTGAAACGAGGATTGTTAAAATTTTCACCTACTTTTCCTGGCGTTTTGTGTGTATACCCCTTGCAGCCACTGAAGGATGTTTTGGACCATCTGGTCTGCACTTGTTTGCCTTGTAACGCGTTGGCCTACATTGATGAGAACATAATTATAGGTTTAGGTGTAAGAAATGTAGACAAAAGAATTAAAGGTGATGCATATCATACCTCTTTCTGCAATGTCTTCGGACGGTTGGGTTTCTTCGGCAGTGATGGCGTGAGTCAGAGTCGCCCAGAGGGCGACCAACAGAATGGTCAGTTTCATTCTGCAAGAAAGAAAAAATTTTAAAATAACGAACGAGAAAATATAGGCTTTGTTCATTCCTTAAGAGCAAAAAAAGTTATTGTTATTATTATGTGATTATCGAGAAGAGGTAAAAAACATATTACCTCGACAGATAGAACAAAATACAGCATCTAAAACGATTACTGTTTGTCCCAAGAAACGATTATTTTCGTTGGTGCATTAACAGGAAAAAGGTAGAATTTTTCTTAAAACTGGTTCAGTTCCGAATGAAGTCTGTTCATATCCTGTATTGGTTATTAACTACTTTAATTAATGTCACGGAAATAGACTTTGGACAAATCGCACTATATAAAATGTATATTGCTGGTTTATCATACGATAATTGGTGTTGGTTGTGGTTAGATAATCGGTAAACTATGTATGTTTTTGTGTTAATCAGTAAAATGGATATTTTTATAGTTGGCAACGTTTAAACTGATAAGGTCCATTAACTGCATAAATTGAATATATTATTATGCACAGAAAGTTCCAATGGCCTGATGCAAGACTTTTCTCGTGTTTCACTAATAAGATATTTTTTTATCATAATGTAAGTTCTTATACAAAAAATAAAATTTATTACATTAAAATTTACACATGTGATCATTTAATTTTTTGATTACTCAACACTGAGTAAAATGTATCTATTTAAGTATCCAAAAATAAGTTTTAGTTTACAGCGTAAATTGTAAATTACTATATATTTTTTTACTGAAGGATAATGTTGAGGTGTAAAGTAATGAGAAGAATCTGAAGAAACATGAAACTAGAATGATTCCAAATTTACAATAAAATTTATTCAGTACTCAAATAGCGAATTAGATGTTATATAGAAAATAAGGAAGCAAGGGAATTTAACCTTATAAATACATAGATTCTTTTGAAAATTTGTTTTAAATAACGCTACCATCAGTAAATAGATTTTATTCTTCATTGACAAGCCAAGGTATTCCTAAAAATGATTAAATATAAACACACGTGAAAACTTGGACATATTTTAAAATTAAAACTTAGAAGAAAGACCAGATTTATACTTATGAAATGTTTTATTATTAGTGAAAACTTAAAAAAATTTGAGATTTATACTCGGATAAAAGTTACGTTTGGATCTTGTTTGGTATTATACAACTCCTAGGTTATAACTAGTAGAATACTTTTAATTTTGCCAAGGTGCTATAAAACTGTATCAGTTACGATATCTGGTATGTTTCTATTTATCTGCATTCGTCCAATATATTGCATTTACGTAGGTAAGGGATACCCGCACTTCTTAGCATCTTAGAGGCGGAAAAGTATACCTCTTGCGTAAATTCGGACGAGACAGAAACATTCCGTTTTACAACATCTTGCCAAAATTAAAAGAATTCTACTAAAGCTTGAGATTGTATGCTAAAATGTACTTCAGTAGAGTTGGAACTATTAATTGATTATGAAATAATCATATCTGTTTTTTGAAAAAGAAATTGGAGACATATCTCAATGTAGCAAAAGGAATCTATCCAAAAGCAGATGAGAACACCAAAAGTGTCATTATTGGTGAAATAATTTATATGGGCATTCTCTTTGTCAAAAATTACCACAAAAAACTACTGGGTACGACAACTTCCAAATATTATAGTTACTGTTGCAGTTTTTTGGGTATTTTATCATTAGTTTTTATGGTGTTCAAGGTATTTTTCTAATATCTTTCATATGTACCAAATGCATTGGTCCAAAAATAAAGTAACATTTAGACATCTACTATTAAATAAATAAACTAGATATGGTTAAAGTGATTTTGTTGCAATGTCGAAAAGTAAAAATCACCAAAAAAAGTTTTACTTTATAACATACATATTTAATACCACCTGTGTTACTTCCCGAACCTAAGTTAAGGAAATATTGCAATAGAGTCTATTCGACGAAGAGTATAATACATAGAACATGACAAAGTAGGTCTCACATTTCCATTTATCTGTCACGTCTGTCTGTTTGTCTGTCTGTCTGTCGTCTATGTCAATTTTTATTAGACAAATAATCTCCCAAACTGCTGGGCCAATTTTAAATGTTATTTAAATTTTATAGAGTAACATGCTCCTGCAGTTGTGGTTTATGAATTACACTACACATCCACATTAAAAAAAAACTTTGAATGTATCCGTTTATTCCCTCCCAAAAAATTTATGACATCATCTCAAAATTTTGGCAAATACATCTTATCTAAAATATGTAAAACATTATGAATCTATACTTGTGGTTATAAATACATTCATATTTTTTAGAATTGTTTATACAGGACGACTAAAAAAAAGGCATTCTATTTTATTGATCAAGTCAAGAAGGACCCATCCCGTTTTCTCGAAAATTTGAGTATAGAGTACTGTTGTTATTATATTACACTGCATCTATTCAAATTGATATGCGTCCTTAATAAAGTGTTGATGATGTCATCACAAAATTTTGTTACGGAAAAACTCACTTGAAACATACGCATGGTATTTTATACTCCTTTATCTATATTTTAACAGCCCATCCATATCTTTATTTTAACATATAGGGGTTATAATAAAAAAAAATCGCAATATTAAATTTTATAATTTTTCTAAGAATCTCTACATTTGTTTTGCAAGCATTTCAGGGGTGATGGAAGTTCTGTTTAAATAACCTGAGACCACTTTGTTTTTCTTGTTGTAGAGAATATACATATTTAAGACTAAAAGAATTCGAGTTTGACAAAGACTATAACAACAAATTATCAATTTTCACAAAATAAGCGGGGCATCATGAAGTTGGCTCACAACTTGCAGAAGAAGTTGTGTAAAGAAGAGAACATTTAGCTCCATAAGCAAGAGGAATATGAAAAGGGAGAGGTTGTCATTCTTCAAAAATGAAATTAAAGATAATATTAATCCAAGGAAAGCTGTAGGGTTTGACCTCATAACAGGTCAAATCTTGAAACAACTGACCAGGGTAGGCATAGTCATACTTATATGTTTGATTCAGCATTCATATTAAAATATATCCCAGCTATTTGGAAAATATCTGAAATAATAATCCTACCGAAATCAGGAAAACCTAACAATGTTAACTCTTATCGACCGATTACATGGTTTCTACTAATCTCAAAATTATTCGAGAAGCTCTAAATAAAGAGGTTGAATCCAATTATCGAGTAAAATCAAATGATCCCAAATTACCAGTTTTGGCTTAGACAATAAACCAGGTTGACCGAATTACGAATGCTGTTGGAAGTCCAGTTGAAAAATTAATTTGTTGTACTCTCGTACTTAAACGGCTGATTGTTTAGGGTAAAACAAGAAGGCAAACACTCATACCTGTATGAAATAAATGTAGGGGTGCCCCAAGGTGGCGTCCTTGGCTCGATCTTGTATTTCCTATATACAAACGACATACCACAGTTGGCTGAAACAATGATAGTAACATTCGCGAATGACACTGCACTTCTGGCTTTAGAAAAAGAAATAACAAAATCAGCCGACAGGCTTCAGAACACCAGCAACAAAATTACAGAAAATTGTAGTTTTTGATTTTTTATCATTAGTTTTTAGGGAGTTTTTATTTGTGACACTTCCTTTGACCCAGAAGTAAATTTAGATATCTACCATTAAATAAATAAACATGACATGATTAAAGTTGCAAAGTAAAAATAACCAGAAACCACAAAAATAGAACCCCTAAGACGTTGCAAGAACGAGGTTAAATACGTTTAATTATTTTATGTTTTTTAACATTTCAAATAACATAACAATGAAAGAATGGAATTCGAACCAGTTCTTTATCTCATTGCACCGCCGGATTCCAATAAATCAAATCAAACGCACCCACCGGGTAAAACCCGTCAAACATCCTCTCAATTATTCCCAATTCTGCCAGCACACGAATTCGCTCCGCAACAATTGATCCAGCGATTTCGTAACGAATTAACATTTTAATAATCCCAACAAAAATTCTCATCGCTCATATTAAACCTTGCATAAGAATTCATTACTCCATTTTTCTGTGAGACCAACAGAAGCATCTCGAAACAACGCAAAGAGGTCACAGTTCGTGCCGTACAAATACTTGAATTTATAATTAGCATCGAAATCGAAATCGAACATTCACTCAGTAAGCACCGGAGAAATTGTTCACACATTCTAAAATTCATTGCCAATATCGGTTTCTATTTTTTTCGATAGAGGAAGTGAATTGCGTGAATGACTTTGATCTGCTTCCGGCTGGAGTTTCGGTCCGGTGGCAGCAAAATCGGTATCAAGTTCAAAAAGGACACTTGCATTTGAAAAATAAACGAAGAAACCGAAGAGAAATCCGGTTGGCACCTGTGGTTGTTTGTTTTACGAAGAACAGTTTGAAGATTGTGCAAGAAATTGCACCCACGCGTCTAATAAATCTAGATTAGAATCAAGACAAGTTTGTAATTATAATTATAACATGTGTTGCAATGAGAATATTCGTGTGGTTTTTCTACAGCATCTTTGTTGCAAAACATCCTTTTGAAAAATTCACATATAGCACCTTTCACGGGGGTCATTGGGTTTTTGGGGATTTACATATTTCTCAATTATTGTTTTAATGGACACAAATTTGCTGCTATTAGGCGAAAGTGGGGCAAACGAAGAACACTTACAACATGAAGACTGACCTCCATTGCGCAACTGTATCAGAATAAACAAAAAAGCTGGCTACGACTAGAACCCGATCTTCTGTCTTCGTCTGCTCCATTAATTAATTATCTTCAACTATCTTTCAGATATCCACCCAGAACCCAAATGCCAGTGCAACCAATTACTTGATCAACGATAAGTGCCTAAACCCATTGTGCAAATTTGCTCCAAAGGAGCGAATTAACACCAAGTCATGAAACCTAACTTTCTCCGTATTGTCTATCATTATTTAATTGAGTTTTATCCCGGATTACATCAGGTACTTTCGTACTTAGGAAAATTTATTCGCTCTAATCGCACGACAATTTTCATTAAA